TGGGTCCTTCGCCTTGTTTTTGTAGCGATATTCGAACAATGTCCTGGGCGTGGCTGCGTAGTTTCGTTTGCGGGGTGCGACCTCAGGGAAAAGGGGCCATTCGCTGGACAACGAGGCCAAACGTGCGCCGAAAGTCGCTCCCAGAGATATCGTTGTGCTTTTGTCTGGGGGCCCCCTCCTGGAGCCCTCTCGGGGCTGTCAGGCGTTCTCCTTGGCTGTCTTGGGGGCCAGAACGGGGCTTGCAATATGGGGCCAAAATGTCCCGGATAGCTCGCAGAGAGCTACGAGCCGGAGCCGCAGGGTAGCCCCGGAGGTCTTTCCGGCTTCCGGGAAAAATCTCCGGCGCTACTTGCTTGAGCCGGAAACCAGTCTCTAGAGGCCTTTTCCTAACGTTTCCTAAGACGCGTGCCCAGAAACTCTGCAAAAGGTCCTTCGGAAGTTCTGTCCAGGTCCTTCCAGAGGTCGTCGCCAGGCCTTCCCACGCCGTGCCTGCGCTCTGCTATCCTTAAGTCGGGCGTGTCTTTCTACAGGAGGAAGATTCAAAAATAGTCCAACAATAGTTTGGGGACGACTTTTTCCGTTAAAAAACAGGTTTGACCATTTTGGAGTATTTTTGTTTATTTTCTTTCCCCCAAGATCCCCCAGTAGGAGGACGCGCCCGACCTAATGCTATCCAGGTTTTGGATCCCACAAGTGTCCCGAGAGGCCACTGTCGTCCTTGGGGTGCCTATGCGGGGCGCTGTGACAGCGTCTGCCGCACTTCTACCCTGCCCGGAAGCCATCCGAGCCCGAATAGCGGCGAGGGAAGCTACCAGGCCGTAGGTTGCCTTGCTGAAGCTGGTTGGGCGACTGTGCCCCCCCCCCCCAAACAAAAAAAAAACGAGAGTGCCCCCAAGGCGGCCCCGAGGTGCGATGCCGGTGCGGACGCACGTGGGTTCCCATGGAGGATGCCGGTGCCGGTGCGATGCCGAGAGGAACCCATGGGTTCCTCTCGGGAGCCTTTTGTCGGGCTCTGCTCAGGGCGCTGTCCCTCGGGGCTACCCGCGGCCCTCCCGGGGCCGTCGTCTGGGCCGGGGGGGGGGGGGCCCGAGAATCGGGGGCGGCCAGGAGGGGGGTGAGGACCAGGGGGGGGGGGGGGGGGACTATCATGGCGGGGGCCATGGTGTCTCCTCATACCTCCCCAGATTTCGTGGCCCCTCTTCTCATTTCAATGCGTTCCCTGGCCCACCGCTGGGCCGCGCACGTGCCGCTGGCCATGATTTGCGCCCCCCCCCCCCCCCCTGGGACGCCGCCCTCTTTGCCGACCCCGAGAGAGGAAACCCGTAGACGCGCGAACGGTGTGTTGGCCAACGGCGAAGGAGGAAGTCCAATTGTAGGAAAGCGCGGTTCGCGGCCAAGCCACTTGTAGGAGCGCGTTGTTCGTGTTTTCCTGATTGCAACTCGCTGTGTCATTTTGGCTCGGTACATCTGCATTTCTGAAATGTAGGAAGCGGCCTTTCGTATTTCCTACATGTTGTTCATCGTGAGCTCGGTGGCGCCAACAACAGGATGCCCAACCGCGCCGTTAACCAAGCACGCCGTTAGCGCAGCCTTGGAAGGCTCGGGAAACCCCGCGAAGGCACCTAAAGCGACCCCCAACAATATCATCGCCAGGCTTCTGTATATAATATCATTCGGACGGCCACTCTCAGGCCCCTCGTGGAAGCCCTCTCGAGCCCCTCCTGGGAGTTTTGTAGGGGCTGTCTCGGGCCCTCCCGGGCCCAGAGAAGGGCCTGCGGGCTCCCGTCTCTCTTCGGGCATGCTTCGGTAACGAACAGGAAACTCGGCCCAACGCCCACGCTGTTCTGCAGAGCATCCTGGATGCCGAAACAACCTGGCACCTCTGTCAGCACAGCGCTCTCTCACGCTGGCACCTCCGGCCTCAGGGACCAAAGGGGGGCAGGGTCTGATCCGGTTTGGAACACCAGCATTGGGGGGGCCCTGGGGACGCACGAGGGCGGGCGAACCTCGCCCCTAGGGTTAAGTCGGGCCTGTCCCTCTACAGGGGGGAAATTCAAAAATAGTCAACAGACGTAGTCTGGGGAGGTTCTTTTGTTTGTTTGCAATTTGGGGGTCTTTTTTATTGTCGTCCAAACTCCGCCTATAGGGGGACAGGCCCGACCTAACCCTAGGGATTGGACTGGCTCGAGAGGAGTGCCCAATAACGCACTGGACGACCAACTTCCTTACAGGGTCCGCGGCATTCATTATGCAGCCCAGTCCGAGTTTACTACAAAGCTATAGCAGAAAACACTCAGTTTGATGGCGGCGCTCATCCCAACAACGCGACGCATCCCAATGAGAACGCCATGCGCGTGGGCAACCGCTCTTCATGTATGCGTTGTTCCGCCAAGGAGCGGCACGCCGTGCTTGCTTCATATCGCTGGCAATGCTTCAGGTGCATCCCGCATGCTACAGCACGGCGTACTCACGTACCTCCAGCTTCAAAGTTACACCACCAGCGAAACCAATCCGAACGCACGTGTACACGTGTGCACGTGTGCACACAGGCAACCGAGCGAACCATGCCAATAAGTGAAAACGCCGTCACGCACGCGCATCCGTCTACGACCGAGCCAAGACAACACCCACCCCGCAACATCTCATCGGTGATTGTCTCCGGCCCGCGCCAAACATGCGGCAGTCGTGTCGATGCGCGCGCGGAACGCACCCCCACCGCAGGCAGGCACGCGCGCGCACATGTTTCCGCCGCACGTGCCCCTGCACCTCGCGCACCGCTGTCGCGCACCCGCAAGCCAGGAGCACGGCACCGCATGCTTCCGCACGGGGTGGCCACGCCGCCCGATGAAGTCGGGCCTGCCCCTTCTACAGGAGGAATGCTTAAAAGATAGTCAAAAGATAGTCCGGGGACGCTTTGTTTTACTACTTTTGGCTAGGTTTCGAATATGTTTTTTTTTTTATTTTAAAAAATCGTCCGAAATCCGCCTGTAGGGGGACATGCCCGCCCTACCCATACTATTCTCATCGTTCGCCCCCTCCGCCTGCAGTCCGCGCAGCAACTCTCGCATGGCTGGGAACGCTGAAGTCGGGGTGGTGCGCCGACGCTCGCCCGGCCTGACACCGTGGCCGCCGCCCCGGTGCGTGCAACAACCCGTCCTGGAGAGACCCACTGTCAGCATCGACAGACCGAGCCTTTTTCTTTGGGTGGAGGGCAGAGAGCGAAATCTGAAATGCCGTTTCGAACGATTCTCGAGGCTTGTATCTACAAAAGGTGAGTTCCAAGACGGATTGCTTTTCGAGGTGCTACAGCCCATATGGATTTCACCCTGAGCCCTCCACCCTACGATAATGCTCAGGCATAGTTGGGGTCCAGCGCCGATCCAAGAAGTCCGGGCAGATGTCGGGAAGCTTGCGCGTGCATGCAGATGTCACTTCTCCTGGGCGTCGGCCCTCCTTGCGCTGCCCGCCCCCTTGTCGAAGTGCTTCGGTGGGCGAGAGCGCGCTGGCGCTGACGCGCGGTCCGAGGATCACCGTTGCGGGTCGTCGTCCCCTTCCACCGGGTGGCCTCGAGGCGGCGCGGGGGCGAGCGCGCGTCGCGCATAGCTGCGCGTGACGTCCGAGGCAGTGCTGAATGGGGCAGGGCTCGCAGGGTAGGCGACATGGGCAGGCCATGACTTGTCAGAGTGGAGCAAGGCCGAAAAGTAGAGTAGAGCAGAGCAGGGCTGAGCAGCCAAGAGCAGATGAGAGCAGTTGGGGAGCGCATAGGCTGAGTAAGGGTGATCAGCCCTTCTGCGTACCATTAATTCGCGCATGTGGTTCCACAAGCCACTGCCCTGGATCAGCGCTGACAGATATGATGGTGCGAGCTGGAAGTGCCCAAGCGTCTTGGGACGGATCAGGCCCGCGACCGAGAGACCCCAGTCGGGGACTTTCAGCAGGCACTCCAGATCTCATAATATGGATGGGTCCTATACTCTGGGTGGGGGGCCTAACCGGGCGGGGCTAGGACGAGGATTGGTATGTTCCAGAGCACCCTCCAGAGCCGCTGGTTCTCAGAGATTCTCGATGTGTCCTCCCCCTGATTTATCTGCGTCCTGACATCGTCATATCTTATGGATGGGCCTCGTCAAGCAAACTTGTGGGAGAGTCTCGATGTTGGATCCGTTGTTGCGCCGCTTTGGGGTGTCCCAGACGTGCTGTCGAACATGTTTTACCCCCTCGCTACTGTGACATGTGGAGTACGTTCCTTCCCCCCTACTGTCCCGCGCACTCCCAAACCAACCCGTTTTGCCCGCTCCTTCGCTTCCCGTTGCTCCTCCTCCTCCTCCTCCTTTCTCCCCTTTCCCACCTCGCACCATCCTCCCACTCCCTCCTCCCTCCCTCACCCCTCCTCCGTCAGTATTCCTCCTCGTCCTCCTCCGTGCTCACCCCTCCCCCGCCATCCTCCGTCCTGCCTGCTCCCTCCCTCTTTGCCTCCTTGCCCCCTTCTCTTGCGCCCGCAACCTCCCCCTTTTCCTTTCCTCTCTCCAAGCGGCCTCCTGCGTCCTGCCTGCTCCCTCCCTCTTTGCCTCCTTGCCCCCGTCTCTTGCGCCCGCAACCTCCCCCTTTCCCTTCCCTCTCTCCAAGCGGCCTTCTGCCTCCCACCTCCGCCCTGCCTCCCTCGGCCTTCTGCTCCTCCTCCTCCTCCTCCGCCCCTTTTTCCCTTCTCCCCATCCCCCCTTCTCTCCCGCCTTCCCTCCCTCCCTGCCCTCCGCACTCCCTTCCATCCATCGCCCTTTCCACCACCCCTCTTTTCGCCGAGCATGTTCTTTGGGTGGAGGGCAAATGGTGAAACCTGAAATGCCGTTTCGATGGACTTTCGAGGCTTGCATTTGGAAAAGGTGAATCCAAAGACGGTTTGCTCTTCGAGGTGCAAAAGCCCACATGGATTTCACCCGAGAGCCCTCCACCCTACGAGAATGCTCCGTTTCCCCGTCCTCCCGCGCTCCCCCTCCGCGGAGGATGCCGGAGGCCTGCAGCTCCCAGCGCTGGGCCCGCAGGACGCCCCGCGGCCGGGGAGCATCCTCTCCTGGCCGCCGCGCCCGCTGCTCGCCCGCATGGCCCTCGGCGACGCGTACCTCGACAGCGTGCACGTGCCCCTCGTCGCGGCCCCGAGGCCCCTGCCGCGGGCGGCCCCAGCGCACGCGTGCCCCTCGTCGGCGGCGGCGGCAGACGCGGGCGCGGCGGCGACGGGGCCGCGGCGGCGTGCGGGCGGCTGCGGCGGCGTGCGGGCGGCTGCGGCGACGACGGCGGCGGCGGCGGCGACGGCGGCGGCAGCGGCGGACGCTGCGGCGGCGGCGTCGGCGGTGGCGCGTCCGTGGCGTCTTCGGCCTCGGCCTGCGGCTTCTCGGCCTCGTCGCCGCCCTGCTCGGGGCGAGCTGCGGCCCTCGCGGCCTCTCTCCCTCGCTGTTCCCTCCCTGTCTGGCATTATCTTTTTTGTTCGCCTCGTCCTCCTCCATCCTCATTCTCATCCTCTTCTCCTCCTCCTCCCTATTGCTATTCCTCCTCCTCCTCCTCCTCCTCCTCCTCCTCCTCCTCCTCCTCCTCCTCCCTCCTCCCTCCTCCTCCCTCTCCTCCCTCTCCTCCTCCTCATCCCTCTCCTTGTCCACCACATCCTCGTCCTCCTCTCCTCCCCCGCCCTCCTGGCGACTCCCCCCTCCCCGCTCCTCTCATCATCCCTCTCCCCGCCCATCTCTGTATCCTGGCGTCGCTGGGGCCCGCGAGGGCCCCCCAGCCTGGCCGGAGTCCCGAGCCGCCCACCCGGATGCGCGTCGTTGGTCTTGCCCGACGGGGCCCCGCGATCTCGTGTCCCGCCCGCCCGACGCGTCCGTCCGCTGGGCCCGACTCGCCCGAATCATGGTCCTTCCGCCTGACCAGTGCGCTGCTTGGTCCATGTGGATGTTCGGTCCGTTGCTTAGGCTCTAGGCCTCCTAGATGGGGTCGGAGTAGATGGGGTCGGAGGATCGCGCCGCATCGCCGATGCATCGCCGATGCGGCTCGATGTGGAGCCCGATTTGCTTCACGTCGACGTCACCGATGCATCGCCCACGTCGACGATGCATCGCTGGTGCATCGCCGATGCATCGCCGATGCATCGCCGATACATCGCCGATGTATCGGCGATGCGGCTCGATCCTCCGACCCCATCTTCTCCGACCCCATCTAGGAGGCTTCTATAGGCCGTCACGATCGAAGCAAGCGTGTCCGAGCAAGTGGGCGGCATCCTCCAGGGCCATTCTCCCAGGCCTCTTGGGTTCTTCTCCTGGTCGTTCGGTTCCATCCTCGGGCACGTCTGCGGCTGCGTTGACGCCCTCCTGGGGGCCTTCCGGGGCCCTCATGGGGCCACTCAGACCCTGCTGAAGCTCTCGTTGGGACCCTGCCTTTTGGGCCACCCTGATTCTGTTCTGATGCTTTCGAAACCCGTCTGAAGGAGCAACGGCGAGCTCGCCAACATAATGGAAGCACTGCCTGCTTGCTTCTCCTTGGCTTGGTTGTGATGCCCCAGGGACGCTGCTGAACTGTCGTTGGACCAACTGAGGGAATCGTGGAGAGCATCTTGTGCTCTACAGTGGAGGCCCATGCCAAGAAACATCATGCTCGCCTCCAGGGTGCCCTGGATTTCTTGGGTTTCGATGGTTTTGCGATGGAAGGCGCGGCTTTCCCACAGCAAAAATCGATGGGCATCCTGGGGTCTCAGGGTTGGGTTTCTTGTGAAAGGTTTCTTGTGGACTGGGCGTCCCCCCTTCCGAAAACGGCGCTCCAGCGCCCACAGGGGCCCCGCTCCGCTCCTCCTCCTCCTCCTCATCCTCCTCCTCCTCCCCCTCCTCCTCCTCCTCCCCCTCCTGCTCCTCCTCCTCCTCCTCCTCCTCCTGCTCCTCGGCCTCCTCCTCCTCCTCCTCCTCCTCCTCCTCCTCCTCCTCCGCCTCCTCCTCCTCCTCCTCCTGGCTCGGGGCAATCTCGCACGGTCTGGGGTGGCCTCGCGGGCCGGGTGGGCCCTTGTGGATGACCCTGAGGCCCGGGAGGCATCTCGCGAGCTCGGCCCAGCAGCCCCCACCGGCAACCCTCCTGAAATTTGATCGGCGGCGAGCGGGGGGGGGAAAGGAGAAGGAGAAGGCCTTCTCAGAAGGCGGCGGGATTTCTCAGAAGTCCTCGCGCCTGCTGAGAAGTTGTTTGTGTTTTCGGGGAAGGCTCAGAAAACTTCTCAGAAGGCCGGGGGACTCCCGAGCCTTCTGAGAAGGCCCGCCCCTTCTCACTTCCCCCCTCGCTCGCCGCCGACCACCGGCAACCCTCTTCAAACTTGACATTACAGTGGGGGCCCATGCCATGAAACACATGAAACACCCTGCTTGCCTCCAGGGTGCCCTGGGTGTCTTGGGTGTTCATGTCTTTGCAATGGAAAGCGTGACGTTCCCACGCCGAGAATCGATGGACGTCCTGGGATCTCAGGGTTGGGTTTCTTGCAGAAGGCTTCTTGTGGTCAGGCCCCTACTGTAGGCGGGGGGGGCAGCGAGGGCTGCCGAAGAGATGCCCGTGAGGGCCCCTGGAGGGGCCCCATTCGGGCCCAGAAGGGGACCTTCCGGGCCCGAAAAGTGCACCTTTCTCCCCCCCCACCCACACGCATCGCACCCCCATTCATGCACGCCCAAGCGATGCTGGAACAGTTGGGGGGATAGAGCGAGAACCAGGGGAGGAAGACAGCCGGCGAGCCACCGCCAGCCCCCTGCCTTCTAGAGGCACCCATGTGGCCAAAGACTTGGCCAACGTCTGGCCAATATGTTGGAAAAAGGTGTTTCCCCAGCCGTTGTGGAGACCCTGGGGAGAACAATCGGGGGAGGACGAGAGAGGTGGACGGGAGGGAGGAGAAGGAGGACAAGGAGGAGGGGGGCTCTTGGGGCCCCTCTTGGGGCTTACTGGGGGCTCTTGGTGGCCTGTTGGGCTACTCACTTGCCTCGCGGCACTCGCAGCTGCGTATGTCGGGGTCCTTCGCCCGGCTCTCTCTCTTTCTCTCTCTCGCTCGCTCGCTCTCTCTCTTTCTCTCTTTCTCTCTCTCTCTCTCTCTTTTCTTTCGCTCGCTCTCTCTCCCTCTCTCTGTCTCTCTCTCTCTCTCTCTCTAGCCATATATATATATTCATGTTTTAATGGGTGCACACACATATATATATATATATATATATGTATATCCCTCTCTCTCGATATGTCCCTCTTTCTTTCTCGTTCTGTAATATATAGATATATAGATATATAGCCTTTCCTTCATGCCCCCCTGCTCTCATCCCCCCTGAGACGAGAAGCATGAGAAGCAGAGGTTAATGGAGATGATGATGTTATTTCCGTTGTTTCTGTGCCGTCGCCCTCGCAATCACGCACTCAAACACTGTTCGCCAATCTGTGTCTGATATATCGTATTGTCTGTAGCTCAGCCTGGCTTGAGCACCAGCCTAAAGCTCACGATTACGAATCCGGCTCCCGACCAACTCGCACGAGCCAGAAAGTAAGCCAGAGGGAAGCGGAGGTGGGGGAGCAGGGGGGCAACATGACTGTAAACACCGACACGTACACATACAGAACAGTGCCACCGTTCCATCCCTGCAGGGAGGCAACACGGCCCGCACTTTCTTGGCATAGTCGAGGATGTGAATGACGGGCGGACCTCGAGGGGACGATCGGTCCCTGGGCCCCCCCCCCCAGTTCCCTGGGCAGACAGGCTCTGGATGCGAGACGGGTGGCCAAGCAGAAGGAGGAGTCGAGGCAAGAGTAATGAATAATGATAGTACACCTGAGAAAACTCCAATCAGTGGATGATTTGAAAACTGATACTATGGATTTTGAGATCGATTGTGAGATCGATAATGAGATCGATACTGGAATCGATAGGGAGGACCATTTGTAAGGTCGATCGTGCGACCGATGGTGAAATCGATTCAATGGGATCGATAGTGAGATCGATCGCGAGATCGCTCATGCGATCTCTAGTGAGATCGCTTGTGAGATTGATAGTGAGATCGATTGTGAGATCGATTTTGAGATCGATCGAGAAGTCGGTAATGAGATCGATGGTGAGTCCGACCGATAAGCAGATCGACCAGGAACCCGGGAACCCGGGGACCTCGCCGCCCTCCGAATTCGGCACGGAACCGGGAACCCGGAACTGGGAACCCGGGAACCCCGGAACCCGGGAACCCAGCCTGCAGCCACCAAAATTTGCTGACAATTTTCGCCAAATCTTACAATTACACTTGAGAAAACCCCAATTTGAAAATTTGTACTACGGATTTTGAGATTGATTGTGAGATAGATAATGAGATCGATAGTGGAATCGATAGTGAGGACGATTGTAAGGTCGTTTGTGAGACCGATGGTGAAATCGATTCAATGAGATCGATAGTGAGATCGATCGCGAGATCGCTCATGTGATCTCTAGTGAGATCGCTTGTGAGATTGATAGTGAGATCGATTGTGAGATCGATGGTGAGATCGATCGAGAAGTCGGTAATGAGATCGATGGTGAGACTGATCGATAAGAAGTCGACCAGAACCCGGGAACCCGGGACCTCGCCGCCCTCCGAACTCGGCACGGAACCCGGAACCGGGAACCCGGGAACCCAGAACCGGGAACCCGGGAACCCAGCCTGCCACCAAAATCGGCGGGGAACGTTCGCCAAATCTTCCAATTACGCTTGAGAAAACCCCAATCAGTGGATGATTTGAAAATTGTTACTATGGATTTTGAGATCGATTGTGAGATCGATAATGAGATCGATAGTGGAATCGATAGGGAGGACGATTGTAAGGTCGATCGTGAGACCGATGGTGAAATCGATTTAATGGGATCGATAGTGAAATCGATCGCGAGATCGCTCATGCGACCTCTAGTGAGATCGCTTGTGAGATTGATAGTGAGATCGATTGTGAGATCGATGGTGAGATCGATCGAGAAGTCGGTAATGAGATCGATGGTGAGTCCGATCGATAAGAAATCGACCAGGAACCCGGGAACCCGGGGACCTCGCCGCCCTCCGAAATCGTCCCGGGACCCGGAACCCGGGAACCCGGAACCGGGAACCCGGGAACCTGGGAACCCGGGAACCCAGCTTGCCACCACAATCGGCGGGGAACTTTCGCCAAATCCTTCAATATCCGCTAGGACCCCTTCAGTGCAAGCACTGATTGGGGAACATGCGCTAGGACCCCTTCAGTGCAAGCACTGATTGGGGAACAATGCATTGGCTCCGACTTTGCGCCGAAAGGCTTGGGAGCACGCCGAGCCCAGATGGGGGAGGCACCTCAAGGTCCCCGGTGTCGCCCCCCCCCGGGCTCAAAGACAATCCGGCACTATCATCCCCCCCTTTTCCCATTCCTCCCCTCACTCCTCTCCACTCAACCTCCCTTCCCTCTCGGGCGGGGGGGGGGCTCCTCTTCGGTGTTTCTGTGGGACATCTCAGGCGTGAGCCTTCTCTGCCGAGTCGATTGGGGGTCTCGCAGGCGGGATCCTCCTCCTCTTCGGATTTGGGTTGGGGCCTCTCGGGCTGGAGCCGCGTCTGGTGTAGATGTTTACGACCCCTCTCAGGTGGCAGCCTCTCTTGCTTGCAGTCTCACTGTGAAGCTGATGATGGTGACAAGGATGAGGGCTAGGAGGTGGAGGAGGGTGACCAGGAGGAGCGAGGAGGGATACGAGGATGCGGATGATAAAGGTATTGATGGTGGCCCTGACATTTATGATGGTGACCTCGAGGAAGCATGCGAGGATGACAATGTTGATGTGGAGGAGTGTTGGGTGTGTGTTGATGGTGTTGATGGGGGTCATGCTGATTATGATGACGGTGAATAGGATAGTGAGGGGCACGAGAAGGAGGACCAGACAGAAGTGGGACGGGATGCACCAAGAGGGTTCGGATGATTATGATTATGATGGCAATGTTGAGGGCGAGGGCGTTCATAGGAGGACGATGAACATGTGGATGAGGATCAGAAGATGTCTGGTGGTGATGGTGGTTGCGCTGATGATGCTGATGCTGAGTCCGGGGAGGAGGATGAGCATGTGACGCACGACTTCGCAGGAAGAGTTCTGGTAATATTGATGCTGGTGGTGATAGGTGCTGATGGGGCCGTTGAGGTTGCCGGGGATTAGGTTGTGGATTCGGATGGTCCTGACCATGGTGGTTCTGATCACGACAGTGGGGATGAGGGCCAGGAGGTGCAGGTGTTGGTGGGTACGCGTAGCGAGTGTGAGGAAGGTACTACTTATGATGACGGTGATGGTGATGGTGATGGTGATGATGATGACGATGGTGATGATGATGGCAATGATGATTATGATGATGCCGCTGACGATGAGTTTCATTATGAAGACGGTGCTGATTTTGCTGCTGATGCTGATGATGGTGCTGCTGCTGATAGTGATGCTAATGCTGGTGATGATGATGCTGATGATGATGATTACGGTGATGATGCTTATGATGATGATGATGATGATGATGATGATGATGATGATGATGATCATGGTAATGTTGATGATGATGATAACGATTACGATGATGAGGCTGACGATGATGATTATGATGATGATGCTGATGATGATGCTGACGAGGATGATGATGATGAGGATGATGATGTTGTTGTTGATGATGATGATGATGATGATGATGCTGATGATGATGATGATAATGGTGATGCTGATTATGGTGTTGGTGGTGGTGATGATCATGATAATCATGAGGGGGGCACCGGTCGGATTATAAAGACTGTGATGGTCATGATAGTGATGTGTATGGTGCTGATATTGTGGTGCAAATGTTTGGTGGAGATGGCGGTAGCCTGTGGTCAGTAACTGACAGTAAGGTTTGGCCCTAACAACAATTTCAGCGGCGAAGTGAACTGCGTACGATGATGTTGGAGGAATTTCCCGGATTATGACGGCGACGGCCAAAACGAGGACGATGATGATGATTACCCGGACGGTGTGAAACATGAAGACGAAACGGAGATGGACGCAAGCATGTTTGTGAGGTTCGCGTTGCAGGATGGCCCAACACACCAGACCCGCCGTGCACTGGCTGGAAGGAGCCGGCTTACTGAGTTTGAACCCCTTCCCCCAAGGAAGGCTTTGCAGAAAAGGCGGACCCAGGGGACGATGATCAAAGATTCGCAAAGGAGCCAGAACACTTCCGGGAGGCGGAGCCGGGCCGCAGATCAGCAGAGGCCGTCGTGTACCTCCCCACCCCCCTCCTCCACCAGCGCGCCCCTCTACTAGACTCGCCCAGCAGGTCATCGGTTTCCAGCATCCCAAGCAGGGGAGGCATGGGATGGCCCGCGCCGGTGTATTCGTTGCTGTCCCTGTCGTCGCCCACCTCGTCCTCCGAGTCTTTTGCGTCTGAGTAATTGGCTTCCCAATGCAGGAAGCGACGGCGAGCTGTGCTTCTGGGGAGCCCCGACGCTTCCGAAAATGCTGAAGTCGAGACCCCTCCTCCCCCCCTCCCTCCTGCCCCTGGCCCCTGGCCCCCCCCCTCCTGCCCTCGTCGTGCCTCTCCTCCTCTCCTGCCCCCCCCCCCTCGTGCTGCGTGCACCCCTCCACTCTTCCCCCGAGGGAGGCCGCAGCCCTTCTGGACGCCCGAAATGGGTACGGAAAGAATGGGTACGATGCCCAACAGCAGCTCCTGTTTATTATGACCAGGATTCGCTGTCCACGCCGCCGCGGTCTGTGTCCATTTGAGACAGAAGGCCGCCTGCCCAACAGCGGCCGCTGTTGGTTTGGGACAACATTTGTTGTTGGGCATTGCGCCCATTCTTTCCGTGCCCATTTCGGGCGTCCAAAGCCCTGGCAGTGTCGGTGATGCCCAGGAGGGTGAAGCAGCGTCCGGGCCTGGTTGGGGCCTGTGTTCTGGACTGGTCCTCGAGACCACACGCGACGACTTCCCAATGGTGGGCCTGTTTTCCACCACCGCCACCATCAGCTGGAGGGGGAGGGGGTCCTCCTCCCCCTCTTCGTCTTCCTCCTCCTCTTCATTCTCCGCCTCCTTCCCCCCCTCCAACTTATGGTGTTGGTGGTGGAAAACAGGCCCATCACCCCAGTCATCCGACGTAGGGTTTTGCTTCGCGCATCGTGGCGCTCCCCCAGGTCTGGCTACTTCCACGGGGAACGCTGCTCCATCCTCCGTCGTTTCGAGACGGTCCTGGGGCCCAGCGGAGGTCCCTGGGACGACGGAACAGCCGCAGCAGAAACGCCCTTCGCGATGCTCTCACGACGAGAGGATGTCGGGGCCCCAAAGAGGATGATCGACTTCCCAAGTGTACCCTTGCATCCTTGCCTCTTCGGTCATCTTCGGTCCATCCTCGAGCATTTTCGATGGCCAGCCCCGCTCGAAGAGCTTCGGCATAGGCGTCCAAGGCCCTGGCATGCTTGCCGCGCATCCTTACTATATGGGTTGACTGTAGTGCTGCCACTGCCTCTCCTCGCCCTCGCTCTGCGCTCTGGAGGCCACGCGAGCTGGGCGGTCCTGAGCCGGAGGTGTCGTGGCTGATGCCGGTCCTCGACGCCCGTGCCAGCTGGCTCCTCCGCCGCCCGTCGACGACAGCGACAAAGGTGACGTCGGCGTTGAAGACGACGTCGTCGTCGACGGCGGCGGAGGTGACGGTCTCGAGACGCCGAAGTCCTCCTAACTCTTCGCTCCTCCTCCTCGCCCTCCAGATGAGCTCGATCCTCCTCCCCTATGCTCCTCGCTCCTCCGCGCTCCTCCTCTCCCTCCTGCCCCTCCTCCCACCGCCTCGAAAACTCGGTCCTCGTCCTTGGTCCACGCGTCGTGATGCAGGCTGCTGCCAAGACGCCGAGGCAGGGGCCCCTCTTTGGCTCTGGGGGGGCTCCAGTCTTCGGGCCAGTCCTCTTCGATCTGGGGCGGGGAGCCCGCGGGGAGGCCCCCCGAGCGGCGAGCAGTGCTCGATCCGCCCCTCCTGTTCGTCGCTCTCCCCCTCCTCCTCCTCCTCCCTCCTCCTCCTCCTCCTCCTCCTCCTCCTCCTCCTCTTCCCCCTCCTCCTCTTCCTCCTCCTCCTGCTCCTGCTCCTTCTCCTCCTCATCCTCCTTCTGCTCCTCCTCCTCCTCCTCCTCCTCCTCCATCTCCCTCTCCTCCCCAACCCTCCCTCGAGCATCGGTTCGAGGCGTCTCCGAAGACATCTTGGCTCTTTTCCGCGATGGCGCCGTGAGTCGAGTCTTTCGCCTCCCCGTGGCGCTTGGGGGGGCACCGGGGCTGGCACTCGGCGGGAGCGCACTGTCGAGTGTCTTGTCCTCTGGGCAGACGTCAATCAGCTGGGAGCGCAGCACTTGCTTGAAATTCGGTTGGTCGTGTAGTTCTCTCCTTGCCGTGGTATCTTCAAGTGCGCCTGTTCGTTATTGCTGGCGGTGGGCATTCCATTATTCTTACCTTATAGATTTTGATATCACTGATTTTGTGCTGCTATTCCGCTGGTACGTTTGTTAGTTATACGCGCTGTTCGTGTGGCAGGTGATGTGTGGCGGTGGGGTGGGCAATCCTCAGACATGTACTCAATGCACTGTTGTTCTCCTGGTTCCTCGGCGGTGGGGGCACTTGTGGGAGCTTGGTAGTGCACTTACCCACCCGCCCACCGCCTGGGCGCATCGACGTCGTGTCGGTGGACACCCTCACTGTTTGGTTGCCTGGCTTTGCTAAAAGCTATTCCAGTCATCCCGTGGCAACGAGGTCCTCTTCGGCTTCTCCTGCCCCGCGTGTCCGGAGAAACTCAAGGTGGCGACAGGAGTAATTCTCATACCGCTACGCGGCCAGGCAGAGTCTCCAGCGTCTCCTCCCGCCCCTCCTCTTCCGCCTTCTCCTCCTCATCGCCATCTATTCCTCCTCTTCCTCCCCCTTCGTTCCTCCCCCGCCTCGTCCCCCCCCCCTCTCGGTTTCATTCCTCTCCTCCTCCATGTCCTCCTCCGCCTCGTCCTGCTCCTGAATTCTCCATTCCACTTCCTCCCCCCCCCAGGTCCTCCTCCGCCTCGTCCTGCTCCCTGCCCCCGTTCTTATCCACTCCTCCTCTGCTGCGCCCCTCACCTTTCCATCCCGAATCGACGCGCGATCTTCGATTCTCGATTCAAGGCTCTATGCAGACCCTCTTACGTCGCTGCTGCCAGCTTTTGTTACGTGGGCTCGTGTGGATCATCATCATCATCACCAACAGCATCAGCGTCATCATCTCCATCGGCATCGCAACCGTAACAGTATAACCATCACCATGCATTATCAGCAGTAACCCTTTCGGCTCAATCATCGTATAGGCAGCGTGGTATGTATTCCTTATTAGTGCGACTCCATGGCATCACGCATAACCAACTTATTGCATCTGCTGCTCGCAGATGTTGCCCCGATCGCAGCGTCGGCTCCCACGGGTGCGGGTGTGGCGACGACATCCAAATAACAAACAACCATAATCCGCGCCGCGGAACTCCATTTCAGCCACGCACCCATTATCATTATCACCGCCATCCTCATCGACATCACCACCACCACCACCAGACTCATCAGCATCACTCTCACCATATTCTGCATCACCGTGATCATGATCATCCGCTCGTCCGCATCGTCATCATCGTCATCATAGTCATCATCGTCATCAACACCATCACCATCGTCATCGTCATGGTCATCCTCATCCTCATCCTCATCCTCATCACCAGCATCGTCATCCTCATCGCCATCGTGGTGGTCATCAACATCATCATCATAATCAATAGCATTGCCATCATCATCATCCTCATCATCAACATCACCATCATCACAATCGCCATCACCATCATCATCGCCAGCATCATCATCACCATCACCATCACCGTCCCCATCACCATCATCATCATCATCATCATGATGGCAGGCCGCGCGACCTGTTCTGCCCGAGACGCCTTGGGTCTCAGGGGTCCCTCCTCAATCAGTCCGCTTCGCCGAGGGGTTGGACGAGGGATGGGAGGGAGGGGAATGGGGAATAGGGAGGAGGAGGAGGAGGAGGAGGAGGCGACGGAGGAGGAGTGTGGAGCAAACTATTGTGCCAGGGTGCTCGTGTGCCACATGCATGTTGCAACTCATTCTGTTAGGTCCATTGGATGCCGTGCAGGCTGCTCGTCCTGCTGTTCTGCTTTCCGTCAACGTTGGCGACTTCGGCCTCATGCGTTGGGGTACGGACTCCCGCGTGGTAGGCGACCTCGCCTCGGCAGGCAAGATATTGGAGCAGCAGCTGCGCCAGGTTGACGTCCGCTTCGCTCTAGACAATTCTCGGGTCTTGAGCAACGTGCCTGCCGTGCGAGTGTCCATAGCTGCCAAGTTGAATAGCCTCCAACCCCTTCCAGTTCGCTCTGGACGTACCATGGGGATCGACTTCGGTTCGGGGCGTGTGGCTAGTCGGGGCACGGTCCGTGGGCGTGTCGACAACATGCGGCCCAGGTTGGCTCGCATGTGCCTTTTGAAGGGCTCGGAACCTCGTCGCCGCGTGCTGGGACGCATGACTCGAGCTGCTTTGGTGCCTTCAGTTCTTTTCGGGGCCTCGGTTATGGGCACGAGCTGTAAGGAATTGGAGGTTCTTCGGGATGCGGCTGGCAAGCTGCAAGATCATGACCAGGATGGCAAGTCTCGGACTCTGGCCCTCCTGTTGTCTCCTGTGCCCCGTCTGGACCCCATTTTCAGGGCCACCTGGTTGCCCGTCAAGGCCTTCCTGCACGCTCTTTGGCACCATTGGTTGCCCCATGAGGCCTTGGACGCCGGCCTCCGTGAGGCCCACAGGCACCTTTTGTGGGCTCGAGCACCCCTGGTCCTCCATTCGGGGCCCCTTTTGTGCTCTGTGGGCCTCGCTCAGGCGCGTGGGTATTTCGGCTGCGTTGGCGTCGTCTCGGATTTTGCTTGGTGGGGCCGACATCAACCCGTCAAACTACTGCCAGATCCCAATTCAGGAGTTGTTTTTTCGAGCTGTTGAGTTCTTGCAGTGCCGCAAGGTAGCGGACCATCGGGAGCAAGAGGGGTTTGCTAATAGTGTGTTCCGTGGCCCCCTGAAGGCTCTGCTGGGTAGTAAGAGCAAGCTGACGGTGCAGCAGACAAGGCCACCTCCGCAGCACGGTCGTTGGGGGGCAGCGGCCGCAGAACAGGCAGTGGAGCGAGGGACATGACACCACCCCAGCCTGTCTGCTGTGTCCCTCGCAAGAGGGAACTCTCCTGCATAGGCATTGTTTCAGTCCGCGCTTGTCCAGCATCGAGGAGCGGGCGCCATTTTTGGAGGCTGCCGAAACCTCTGCCGCCACCTCTGTGTTCGCTGCCATCTTTGCTGAAAGGTGCTTGGTGCCCTTCCCAGCCCTTAGCAGGCCACCCCCGGGGACTCCACTATGTTGGGGGCTTGGAGTGCCATCCGAGTTCAATTGCCATACCTATACTGGCTTTTCTGTTTTCGAGGCTTAGTATCCCAGCCTGGCCAGGGCTGGTTGCTGGTGCTTTGTGCTTCATCAGGACCATCGCGAAGTCGTGTCGTTCTGCTCTGGGCCGCTCCTGGATCCGCTGCAGTGCACTAGTGCAGCCGAGCTGGTAGCAGTCATTCATGTTCTCTGCTTCGCGGCTCCGCCAGCACGTATATTCACGGACTCGGCTTTTGTTGCCGACGGGTTTCACGAGAGAGGCCGTGAAGCCACGTGTGCGTGTGTGGTTGCCCACGCGCTTGTCTGGAGGGAGTTCTGGAGGCTGGTGGGAGAGTGGGGCGGGGGGTTCGAGATCACGAAGATAAAGGGGCATGCGGCTGTGGTGTACGCCCAGCTTGGGCGTGGCACCACAGCACGCCACCGTTACGGCAATCGTAAGGCCGATGAGGCCGCCAAGAGTGTTGCTGCCTTTGCCTGTGTGCCAGCCGAATCGGTCGCTCAGTTGAAGGTTCGGTGTAAAGTTCTCGAAGCGGCATGCCCGTGTCAAGCTCCAGCTGCAAGATGGTCCGCTCGTTGTTGGTTGCTCTCGCTGTGCTTGCTTTGCTGCGGCTCGGGTTTCGAGCCTCGGTGCACCTTGTCCTCCTCAGGTCTTTGATTCTGGGAGGAAGTGTATCACCATATTGGCGAACAATCATGAATTCAGGCGCGATGGGAAACTCTACCGAGTGCTCTCGCAGGATCGGCTGTGATCATGGCTTCGGGGCCCCCGCCAGGGCGTTACGCCCAGAGGGGGGTGATCCGCTTGTAACGTTTTTGCCGTTTCCCGAGCGCGGCAGGGGGCGTTACACCCAAAGAAGGGGGGTCTGCTTGTAACGGCCCTGGCCCACCGAGGTGCCCGTCCACCTCCGTCTGTGCAGGCCCTGGCTTTGCCTGCTTTCTGTTGCTGGCGCCGCTTCTGTTCGGCGCCGTTGTCCGAGTCGCGTGGCCAAAGGCGGTTGCAAGGTGCACCCCTCGCCACGCGTTTCACATATGGCTGGTGGTTGGCAGGCCCTGCCGCCCGCCAGGTTGTGCCCAGGAGAAGGAGCACAATAATGAGGAGGACGAAGGATAGGAGGGAGGATAATGGGGAATAGAGAGGAGGAGGAGGCGGAGAAATAGGAGGAGGAGGAGGAATGATGCGAGCACACAGAAGGTCAGGCCAACGCAGAAGGAGGAGAAATAGGAGGAGGAGGAGGAGGAGGAGGAGGAGGAGGAGGAGGAGGAGGAGGAGGGGGAGAAGGATGGGGAGGAGGAGGAGGAGGAGGAGGAGGAGGAGGAGGAGGAGGAGGAGGAATGATATGAGCACACAGAAGGTCAGGCTAACGCAGATGGAGGAGGAATAGGAGGAGGAGGAGGAGGAGGAGGAGGAGGAGGAGGAGGAGGAGGAGGAAAAGGAGGAGAAGGAGGCCGAGCGGGGGCAGGCCCCCCCGGGGCATGGAAAAATCACAGTCGTGGGATAATCTGCTATTGCCGGCCGCAGGGGTCATATTCCCGAAGAAGAAACTTGGAGCACGAAAATGTTCGGAGCTTCGCGCGGATCTCTTGGATCGGCGCTGGGGCCCTCTTGGCGGCGCCTCCGACGCCGCCACTAGCGCGCTCCGCGCGCCAGTGAGTGGGGTCCGCCGCGTATCCAAGAAATCCACACGCAGCTTCGAAAGTATATATAACTATATATATATATATATATATATAGTTGTTCTTTCCTCTAGTGGTGGCAGACCTTTTTCAGAAGGCCGCGGGGATTCTCAGGAGCCCTCGAGACTTCTTCGAAGCCCCCCGGTGGCTTCGGAGGAAGCTTCGGAAGCTTCTCGGAAGGCCGCCGGTATTCTGAGCCCTCTGAGAAGGCCCGGCCCGTCCGCCTTCCCCCCTGCAGGCGCGGCCTCACCCCTGGGGCTGGAAAGTGTCCGGGAAGCGACGGAAACGCCAGAGAACTCGGGCGGGTGGCATTGGGTGGGTGACCTAAATGGGGGGTGAAGATCAAGGCCTTATAGGGATACTTGGGGCCCCTTTTGAAGCCAGCAGGGACCCTAAAGGTCTCTTTTTGAGGCCTGGTTCGCAGGCCTAGAGGTTGACACCAACACCAGTATCGGCGATGTGCCTCCACCGAGAGAAGAAGGTCCCGATCTCCGTGACTGTGGTAATATTCTGGCCTCCAAGGTGACCGAAATATTGCCACCAACGCCGAAGTCTAGGATCATCTTCCCCCTGTGGAGGTAACCCCCTGTGCTGGTGTTGGTGCCCATTTCCAGGCCTCTGACTCGTTCCCCACCGCCCATTCGGGTCACTCTCCGTTGCCACCCGCACGAGAAACGGCCACTTGTCCCCACTCGGGCGCGCCGCCGGACCTCTTCCTCCTCTGACGTTTCCCCCTGGGCGCGCCACCGGTTGATCCGTCCTGTCTCCCGTGCGGGCAAGATTCAGGGGCAACGATAGGGGGGGATAGGCCTAGGGGGGGATGCATCGACCCCCAATCGCCCATCGATCGGCGATAGGGGCCCGATAGCCCCAACTTGCCCAGGAAGGTTCGGATTCACTATCGGAGGCCTATCGCCGATCTATCGGCGATGTATCGCCGATTCCGTGTCGATGCATCCCCCCCTATGCAAGTCCCTCCCCCTATCGTTGCCCTTCGAAGATGTATATCTGTATACATATATCCATACCCACTGCGTCTAGCAGTTCCGGATTCACTTCCCAAGGAGCCAGAGGTTCAGTGTACCGTAGGTTCATGCGGCGATGCCGCCCTGGCGACGCCGGCGCAGGCCTTCAAGTTGAGCTCCGCATGATAGAACGACCTGGAAGCACTGGAGGGCACGGTGACGCCACAGGACCCGACGGAATTCAACTTTGACCGACCGATCTGGGCCGCGATCGGTTCAAGATTGAACGATCAGGACGGTGTCGAAAAACTTTGTACGCGCCGACGCCGAATGAACTTGTCGAATATGGATACGAACCTGGCCCCTGTGCCGTCCAGATGTCTGCCCATGTCCACTACGCCTCGGCCTTTTGGCGCCACTTCCCAGACAGGCTAAGACGCAGTGGAAGTGGATACATACAACACTGGCCGTTGAAGGACAAAGTTCGCTGATGCAAGAAGACAGATGCCCAGGGGCTATGCCAAACACCGTCCCCACCTTTTAGTCACAAGCGCCTGTAGTCTATGGACACATGCTGGTGTCGCTGCGTACATTCGGGCACACTCGGGGTGGACGCGTCTACAGACCACGCGGCCTCTGCTTCCGACGCAGCAGGAGGCCAGGGAGAGGGTAGATCCGCCTGCGGTATGTTCCTTGTCTAGAGCAGGTCCCACATGACGGTAACGACTGCGCTGACGTAGGCCCGTAAGTTGCCCGCGCCCTCGTTGCCAATGTGGCGTGCCGCGCTGGCGGCCCGCGTGAGCCACCGCGCAAGATCGTTGCGCCATCTCGCGCAAGATCCGTTCTGAATCGTCGCTCATATGGTACCCCCCGCATGCAACTCCTAGGAGGTCTAATTCTGAATTTGCCCTGGTCCGACATCCGGCTTCATCCCGCTTCATCCCGCTTAATCCCGCTTACTCCGCTTAATCCGCGGCCGAATCCCGCGTAGCAGACCCCACATGGGGCTTCATCCTCTCTGGTCCTTCCGACGAAGATCTCGCAGCAGCTGCCTCCGAGGTGCTCCAAGCTTGCCTGCCCCCCGCTGAGGCTCGAGGACGCCTTTGGCAGCATCGCGGCCCAGGCCGGCATGGGCCCCGGCAGTTGGGAGCGCGCGGCTCGGCGGCCCCCGCCTGCCCTGCGGCACCCGCAGGCCATCGTTGCCGAAGCCCGGCCGGCCAGCCACGCCTTCCAGATCTGTTCCCAGTGGCCCTTCCAGGCAGATTCGCGCCGTCCAGAAGTACCAATTCGGATGCGACTCGTGGAAGCTAGGTCTACTTCTGACCTCGCCCTATGGTCCGAGACCTGGCTTAATCCTGCTTTCTGTGGCCTGATCTCGCTTAATCCTGTTATATCCCGCTAGGTCCGCGGCCTAATCTGGCGTTGTAACCGCCAAATGGTGCCTAATCCCGTTTAGTCCTTCCGACGAAGACCTAGCAGTGATTCCCTTTTGAAATCAAGACAGGAGGTCTTTCGTCGTTTTCGGCCCCTCCAGATCCTCACCGGGGCCCGGGACCGTCAAAAAACGATTCGGGATGAAAGAATGGCCCAGGGATCGCGCATTGAAAACATCAGAGTTTCGTACGTCTGGGTTCCCACTGACCTGCGGCTTGACCCAGTGGCCGTGCGGACAGACGGGTCCAGACCCGAACGCAACAAAGCACACACAGAAGGTAGCTAAGACGGCCCCTCCTGCGCCCCCAAGACGGCCAAGATGGCCCCAAGGGAGCCCAAGACGGCCCAAGATGCTCCGCAGACGGCCCGAGATGAGGGCCCCAAGAGTTCCCCAAACTGCCCCAAAGAGGCCCCCAAGAAGCCCTCATGAGGGAGTTCGTCTTTAGATTCAGGCATGTCTGTTTGCATGGAGTGCCCCCCTTTCCCCCCCGCCTGGTCGCATTTTCAAGAAATTCTTGGCCGACAAGACGAGCAAGTGAGTTCCGGCTTGCGTGAAGTCCAGATTCCTTCTCGGCCCTCGCAATTTAATTTGCCGGGATCTGAGGAACAATTGTCCCTCAGCGGCCCCACCTTCCGGACTCCCCCCTCGTTGAAAAGGTCAGGACAGGCGGTCTTTAGGCGGAGACCTTGAACGCAGACATGGTAATTCAAATGTTTCTGGCGTCCTGGCGTCGTTCCTGCCTCGGGCTGCGTTCCAGCAGCTGCGCCTCGCCGAGAGCGTTCTGGGAGTGCCCGGATCGTCCCGAACTGAGACTGGACACCACAGGAGTTGTCTATTTTAGTCCTCCTGCTTGGGTCGGGGTAAACGGGGTTGGATGATCGCGCCGCATCTCCGATGCATCGGCGATGCGGCTCGATACGAAGCCCGATTTTGCACACGCCGACGAAGCCACTGCGTCGCCGACGTCGCAGATGCATCGCCAATGATCGGCAATGCGGCGCGGTCTTCCGACCTCACCTGCTCGGACCTCATCTAATCAGGAGTCCTCTAAGGCTCTTGGCCATTCTCGGCCTCCAGGGGGCCCTCGCCGAGACCGCATGTCGAAATCGTTTGAACGCCCTTGCGCGCGTGCTGGGGTGGCACGATCCGTGTCGAATAATACCATGCGGGCCACTCTCGCGCGTCTGCCGCGCGCGCATTTCGAATTCCTTCCAAATTCTTCATCACCGACGCGAGGACGCCGTCATCGTCGTCGGCGCGATCAGCATCGGCGCCGTCACTGGCTGCCCCGTCGTCGCTGTCAGCATCGTCACCAGCATCGCTACTATCATCATCGTGTCTAGTGTTGTCGACGTTGCCATGATACCGCGCCCGCCAAAGTCGCCGACTCGCACTGAAGTGCCCGCTGGGATGTGCCGAGCGGTCAGCGCCACCGCGTTCGCGTCGGTCGCGCGAGCGTGCGCGGGCTAGCGCGGCCGCAGAAACGCACCAGCCAATACCAAGCATTCATCGCAATCGCTTCCGCATGGGGTTTGCAAGCCAAGTTGCGGGTGGGTGGGTGGGATGTTTGCGCGAGCAGTGGAGCGGATAACTTCAAGTTGAGCATTCGTGAATTGCACCTCCTACATTGCACCACGTTGCTTGCACCACCGAGATTTCACCGCGTATCCTGGCACAGAGTATCACCGTTTGGGGCCCACGCTAGCCAGCACATCCTATAGCAAGGTTCCGTAGCGCACGTGCGCACCCCCAGGGGCCGCCTCCCGCGCGGCAGGTCCGCCATATTACATGCGCTGGTGCCACTCTTTGTCCGAGATTCTGAAGCGCTGCTGGCCCGCGGGGCGTGGCGGGCTTCTTGCCTTGTATCTCAGCGCGTGCCCAGACGATCTCCCGCAGAGGGTGCCCCGGAGGCAGAGCTCCTCGCGTGTCTTGGCTCAGTGGCTTCGGATCGCCGCTCCGTGCGCCCGGCGGTGGGCGGCGGGGGGCATCGTCTGAATCGCACCTGCGCGAGGGATCCAGCTTACGCTTGGTATCTGTTCGTTGCCCTGCCGTGGGTGTGGCGCAGGGCTGCGGGCCCCGTTTCGCTTCTGCGGCCCGCGGTGCTCGTGGTACCACCACCGAGCGGGCTTGCATGTGTTCCGGGCCTGATCAGGATCGGCGGGGGAAGATGGGATGATGGACGAGGTGGCGGAGGAGGATGCGGAGGCTGTGGAGGGAATGCGAAGTAGGAGGAACGGAAAGGGATGGGAGCGGAAGGGGAAAGACGGGATGGTGAGTCGTCTGCCTCCCGGGCCCAGACTTCTGGTGGCCCAGAGAGTCGCTCAGAATGCGGAGCCCAGATCTGGCATCATGGATCATCGCAGGTCACCGCCCACCAAACCACCCCAACCCAACCCGAAGGGTCAGATTTACCCTCGATTTCTAGTGGGGGGGGGTCCGGGAACATCGAAAAAGCACATATGGAGCCCATACCCCCCCCCAACCCGAAATTCGGGTCTTCGGGTTGGGTTGGGGTGGTCTGGTAGGTAGGCAGCAGGAAAAACTTGAGGATCGAAGGCGTGGTCTCCGCAGAAGCCGGCGAACATGCAGCGAGGCGGCTCCGCTGTGGCCGAAGCCGGCGATTAAAAACCGCGCCCCAAAGTCACGGCACCCATTTTCGCTTCAGGGTTTCGCGAGCCCGCCACGTGGCATCGAAAGGATCGGAAGCCAAGGGGGAACTGTGACTGGGGGAGCCGTGCTCCCTAATCCCATTGGCGGGAAAGCTTTCTGTGCTCAGAGGAGGAAAGAGGTACCCATGCCTCTACCCTGCCCCCGTTTTCCTCTTTTCGGGGGGCCTCCTGGGAGGCGCTCGTCGCCACCGCCGAATTCGCCGCGAAGTCCTGGCCAGACTGCGCCCCGGGAGAGGTCCGCGGAGTAGCGCTGTCGGTACCCTTTCGTTTCCCCCTGGTCGATCTCTCGAGTGGGGCGTCGAAGCTGCTGCCCCCCCCCCAAGCGGGGTTGAGGGCCACAGCTCCCCCGGGTGGCGGCTGGCATGCTCCCGAGAGCTCGCACTCGCCCGAGCCGAGCCCCTTCCCCGATGCCGTTCCCGAGCCTTCCCCTGTCGTGCCCCCCCCCCCCCCTCGCCCCCCGCATCGCCCCTCGCCTCAGCTTCGGCATCGGCCCCGTCCCGAGGGAGGGAGGAGGAGGAGGAGGAGGAGGAGGAGGAGGAGGAGGAGGAGGGAGGAGGAGGAGGAGGAGGAGGAGGAGGAGCCCCCCTTCCCCCATCCTCTTCCCGAGCCTCCCCCCCGTCGCCCCTCGCCCTCCCCAGGGGCTCGCGCCCTCGCCCGGCCCGAGCCCCCCCATGTCCTGCTCTCGTTCGCCCTCGCCCGGCCAGAGCCATCCCCTCACCCTCGACCCCCCCCCCGCGGGGGCGGCAAAGAGGGGGGTGATGAGATCTCCCCTGATTTCTCCCCAGATGATTTGCGCCCCCCCTCTTGGACGCCCCCCTCTTGGCCGACCCCGACCCCCCCCCCCTCGCCCCTCGCCTCCCGCCGCCAGCCTTGGCCCCGGCCCGAGCGAGCCCTCGCCCCCCTTCGGCCGCCCGCGGGGGGGCACCTGCGCTCTCTCGCGCCACCTGACGGGCACATCCACCCGCCGCCGAAGGCCGGCCACGCCCAGAGGGGATGCAGCCCTGGGCCTCCCAGATGGGGTCGGAGTAAATCGGGTCGGAGGACCGCGCCGCATCGCCGATGCATCGGCGACGCATCGGCGATGCGGCTCGATGCGGGGCCCACTTTTCTCCACGACGGCGTCGCCGATACACCGCCGAGGCCACCCATGCATCGGCGATGCATCGCCGATGTATCGGCGATGCGGCGCGAACCTCCGACGGCATCTACTCCGCCCCCATCTAGGAGGCCTCTAGTGTAGCGGAGGAAAGCTTTTCAGAAGCACCATTGGTTCTTAGAAGGCGCGCAGGCCTTGTTGACAGATGTGGGGCCAGCGCCTTCTGAGACGCAGCCTCCTTCTCAGGAGCCTTCCCCCTCCCCCTGCCCCCTTGGCAAGACGCCAAGAGGAAGGACAAAGTGCATTGACGTGGTCCGCGCGGATTCCTTGGATCTGCGTTGGATCCCCCTGGCGCGCTCCGCTCGACAGAAAGTGGAGCTCGGGGAAACATTACAGCATCCTTTGGAATCGCAGGTGGTCATTTTTTTAATCATTGTTTTGCCGATCGGCGCGGGCCCTCGCTACCCCCCTCTCCCCCCCCACGGAGTAGATCTTGGTTGTTTCTGGCGCCTGTTTCGAGCAGGTGGGGTCCCTCCCCCATAGGACGCACGGTTCCAAACAGCCGCACTAAGCAGAGGTCCAGAGCCAGACCCCCCACCTCCCTTCCCTTCGCCCAATGTCGAAACGCCGAATAAACAAACGCTCACCAGCCGTGGCCCAGACCCCACATATCTGTTCAGCGCTTCTCGAGCCCGATGTATCCGTGATGGTGCCAGGGCTCCGAACAAATAGGCCGATTTTCCACCACCACTACCACAGAAGCCGTAGGCATGAGAGGGAGGATGGTGGGGAGAAGGAGGTGGAGGAGGAGGAGAAGGAGGAGGAGGAGGAGGAGGTGGAGAAGAAGGAAACGAAGGAAGAGGAGGACCTCCCCGTCCTCCCCTCTACCCCGTCCTACCTGCGGTCGGTGGCGGACAATCGGCCCATCGGGCACTGTCCGAACGCGCCTGGTGCGAGAACAGGATGCCACGCCCGGATCTCGAGGCTTGCCGCAACGAGAGGAGGGTGGGGGGCTCCTACCGCCCCCCGGCAGGCCCTTTTTTGTGGGGCCTTCGGGGCACATCCCGCGGGCCTCTGGCGGCCGATGGGGACCCCCCCCTTCGAGGTCCAGCTGATGGACGAAGAGGGCCCTCCGGAAGCCCTGCGCCGCTTTCGGCCCCCTTGGCTGCCTCCCTACGGGCCGCGGGCCCGTCAAAGCACGGCTCCGGATGGAGTAACGACGAGCGACCGTCGCACCCAAAGCCTTGCTGTACCGCCCCCCCCTCCGGGGAAACCCCGAACTCGAGTACACCGGATCTCGGGTCCGCCTACGCTGTTTGACGAGCCCGTCCTGGATTTGGACGGTCCAGTTTTCCTGGGACGTCTGCAGCGGGGAGCCTGCGTCTCCAATCAACAAGCGTCTTTCCATCTTCCTTCCTCTCTAGGGGGCGAGCAGGAGCCCAATCCACTTCCCACGCCTCCCTGCTTCATGTTTATATCCACTTCTTCCGACCGATGGGTAACTCGGGCCTTCGGCGGCCGTCCGGGACGATTCTGGCACCCCCGAAACGCCCTCGACGAGGCGCAGCTGATGGAAGCTCAGGGGCTGCCTAACCGACCCCTAGTAAACCGTCCTGTTCCGTGACATACATCCCCCTTGCTTCGCTCCAAGACGTATGTATGCGTCTAGGCCTCCTAGATGGGGTCGGAGTAGATGGGGTCGGAGGATCGCGCCGCATCGCCGATGCATCGGCGATGCGGCTCGATTTGGGGCCCAATTTCATCCACGCCGACGTCGCCGATGCATCGCCGACGTCTCCATTGCATCGCCGATGCATCGCCGATGTATCAGCGATGCGGCGAGATCCTCCGACCCTATCTACTCCGACCCCATCTAGGAGGCCACTGATGCGGCCGGAGGGAAGCTTGAAAGGCGAGGGTGACGTCACGGGAGGGGATGGCTTGCTTGGGGTCGTTCAGGCCGCGCCCGAGCAGGCACCCGGTGTCTCGGAGACCTCCGGAAACTTGGAAACAGTGTCCGAACATTTTGGGGCGCTGTCCCTAGCATTGCCCCTGAGAGGCCCGAGAGGGTGGGGGCTTATGCTGCCCGTACAAGTCGGGCCGGGCGAAAGGGCAGGGCAGGGAAGGGGGGAGGTACGACATCTGCTGCGTTCAGCTGGCTTCCGCCCCGCCACCAGGCCCATTCCTCGATAAATGGGGCGCCTCCTGGCGCCAGGAATGCCAGCTCCGTGAGCTGGTTCTCTACCCTGCCCTTTTGCCTCCCCCCTGCTACCCCTTTGCTACCCTACCCTGCCCTTTGCTACCCTGCCCTACCCTGCCCTACCCCCTACCCTCTCCAGCCTCTCACAACCAGCTCCACTCGCGTGCTGCACCGCCCTCTGGGCGGAAGTAATCAGCAAGACGCGCGTGCGAGCCGGCAACCCTCAAGTCGGCCGCGTCCCTCTACAATCGGAAAAGTCAGGCGTAGTCCAAAAACTGCCCGGGGACGATTTTGTTTTACCTGTTTTGCTATGTTGGGGTATTTTTATTGTAAAAATTCGCCCCAAATCCGCCTGTGTCAAGCAGTGGCACAGCGTCCTGGCTCGCCTATAGCCCTACCAACCAATGTTCTAAGAACTTTCTGTGGTTTCCACGAAATGTTCTTAGAACATTTCCGGTTGGGACTGTTTTGTTAACACATCGGATTTCTGTTCTAAGAACATTGTTTCTGTTATTAGAACATGTTTGGGTTCTAAGAATATTTCGGGGTATGACTATAGGAGTGCCTGGACGGTCGGTCCTTGTTCAACTGTGGAGGGACAGGCCCGGCTTAAGGCACCCCCCCGAATGAGGCTCGTAGTAGTGGACGACTGCTCCGGCAGCGCGGAGACGCTGGAGGCCCTCGGCCGGTGGGCGAGTTTGCCGCAGGTGCAGGCTCCGCTGGCGGGGGGGGATGCGCCGGCTCCCCCCCCCATTTGCGCCGCTGGCGCGCGCGAGAGGATGAGAGGCGACGATAAGGGCGAATAGCCCAGGGGAGAGCAACACATGTATTCAGGTGCGCCGATGACCCATGTCTTCGAAAGGGCTCCTGGGCGAGTACGTGTAATGCCCGCCCCTGGGCTATTCGCCCGTATCGTCGCCGCCGAGAGGAGGGCGGCAGGGGGGGTGCTTGGCTCAGAAAGACAGGGATCCCCGGGAAAACGTAGAATTAAATCGAGCACGTCCTATTCAAACATAGTTTCAAATAGTCTGAGGACGCTCTTGTAGGTTTTACTCTTATTTGTATTAGTATTATTATTATTCTTATTGTTATCACAAGTGCTGTTATTATCATCGTTATTATCATTATTATCATTATTATTATTGTTATTATTATTATCATTATTATTATTATTATATATGTAAATCGTCCAAAAGCCGCCTGTGGCGGGACATGCCCGACCTAAACGTAGAAGACTCGAATACGCCAAACCTCTGATTTGCCAACGCTTTTTCACGAGCCCGTGCTGGATTTTGGCGGTCCAGGTGTCGTGGGATGTTTGCAGCGGGAGCTCGCGTCAAATTTCATACCAGATCTCGTCATTTTCCCGACGGCCCCGTCAGGCCATCCCGAGTTCCCCTTACCCGATTCTCACGTCTCCCTGATACCGGGTGCGGAGGATGCGGTTTGGAGAAATGGCCAGGTCTTCCGTAATTCCGAGTCTGTTCAGTTTCTTCGGGTATGTTCCCAGCCCCTCCCTCCCTAAACGGTAGGTGTCTGCCTCAATGGCAGACGCATCCGGTAGCGAATCAGGATGGCTTCGTAGGTCTTCGCAACTCCGTCTGTCGACTGCATTACTTAGCGCGCGCTAGCGTCTGGCAGTCGTTCAGGAGGCTCAGATGTTGCGTCGACTAGCGTCGGCTTTGCGTCGACCAGCGCTCATGCGTAGGAGTCAACCAGATGGTATGGGAGGCCCCCGTGGGTTGCCACAGAAGGTGCGCTCTCGGAGGTCCGCGCAGATGTCTTGGGCCGGTGGGGTGGAGGAGGAGGAGGAGGAGGAGGAGACCTTGAGATCCAGGCGTTGCAAGGTTTGTCACGCCGGGCGTGGTCGCCCGCATTGGGACCCGGACTCGAAAATAATTTGGCCTGGGGCTCTGGTCGTAATTTCTGACGGTGCCGACTTGTACGAGACGTCGGATCTCTGTGGGGGAGGGGGGGGTGGAGAGGAGGAAGGGCAGCACAAGGGTTAAGAGGATAGGGGGAGGGGGCGAGGAAGGGGAGGCACAAGGCAGAAGGGAGGGGGAGGGGGCGGGGACGGAGGAGCCCCATTCCCTTCCCCCGCTTCCTCGACGTAAACACAGATTTCTGAAGCTCCGCGCGGACATTTCGGGTCGGGGCTGGAGCTTCCTGGCGGCGCCTCCGGCGTCGCCACCCTGCGCCGATCCAGGGAGCCCGCGCGGAGCGCAAAAGGTTTATGTGTTTGCAGCGTCGTGCTTCTTTATTATTTCCCTCCCTCCTCCCTCCTCCTCCTCCTCCTCCTCCTCCTCCTCCTCCTCCTCCTCCTCCTCCTCCTCCTCCCTTCCGCAATCATTTTGGTTCAAGGCCAAGATGGTGTCCATGTCGCTGCCTCCTACAGGGTACGCTTCCACCAGTTCTCGTTGACCTGCCGCCACACCAACGGGCTTGCGGCCGCATATTCCAGTTGTTCCTGCTTTTCGCTCTGGCGCTGCAGGCAGCCATCCATATCCGATCCTGGAGCCTCGCTCCGAGCCGTCCGTATCCGCTCGTCGAGCTTCGCCCCAAGCCGTCCACACTGCTCGCCGGATCCGCGCTCCGAGCTCTTCATATCGCCCGCGGCACAGACTTTTCCGCCGTCGCGCTCAGGCAGACCATCGCCCCGTGTCGTTGGCAAGTTGCAACACATCTTTTTCCCTGAACAGCAGTTGGTCATTCCCGACCGCATCACAGTCATGGTTGACAGCAGCGAGCGTGGCAGCGGCAACAAGTGCCCGGCATCGCGCAGCCTTATCTCGTCCCAAGCTTCCCGACGTCGACGCCAACGCCAGCATCAAGCAAATCATCGTGACCGTGGCCTCCGCAAAAGGAGCCCAATGCCCGCGAGCTGCCGTAGCCCGCGATCGCCTCGCAGCTGTTCAACGTGCTGAAGCCGCCCCTCCGGGGCGTTCCTCAGGCCGCGCTGCGCCGCGATATGCCCGCCCTGGTAGCGCGTCGGCTCGCCCTGCATCCGCTGGGCTCGCAGGTGAAGGCGCCCGGCGAGACCCTGTCCAAGGACAAGACCCATGGCGCGCCTCGCAGTTGGCTGCCGACATCGACAATTTCGCCACCTTCCAGACACAAGCGGTTCAGGGCCAAGACTCCCGGCGACCTTCGCAGCTGGCCGCCGACCTGGACAAGTTCGCCGCCTTCCCATCGCAAGAGCGTCCACAAGGAAGTGGCCGCCCAAAGGCACACGCTGCCCATGGCGATGCGCGTCCGACCCCTGGCTCCACTCCTGCAGTCCGATGTCCTGGCCTTCCGAATTAGCTGGGCGCCGCCCTTCAGAGCCTCCCGCAGCAGCAGGTTGCCCACGCCTCCGACGCCTTCCGCAATATCGAGCAGGTCGGCTTCTCGAGCAATATCTGGGAAGTTTCCGTTCCCTCCTCCAGTAGCAAGTTTCCATGGCAGAGCGCCGAGTGGACAACCTGGCCGACTCGGTCGCTCACGCCGGTCGCATCGCCAGGATGCCGAACAGCAGCGTGCGCGGCAAAACATCGACCAGATGCGCGTCACCCTCGTATTTGCGGAGGCGCGGATCCCGATCATGGGTCTCGGGCGGCTCGCCGAGTGGGGCCGCGCCCCAGGCCCCGCGCTCTCCGCTGTCGGCTGCCGTCGCCTCATCTCGCCCGAAGCCCTCCTCAACGGTCACCGCGAGTGGGCCGGTGGTGCAGGCTTTCAATCCGACTGCGTCGAACTTCGCGGAGACGAACCCGCTCGTCGCTGCATTCCTCAAGTCGATGGGGCTCGACAATGCAAGTCGCCGCCCCTCGCTTGCTCGCCCTCCGCAGAGTCATTCGCGACGACGCCGGCCAGCGGGGGCCCTTCGTCTCCACGGACGCCACTGGGCTGCGCGTCGGCTCCCACCTCAACACAGACATGTCGTCGAAGCAAGTCCGCGCCGACATCCAGTGCGAGATGCTGCAGGCGGCACCCCAGCAGCAGCGCCCCAACCTGCAGCGGCGCGCCGCCCGCAACGGGCGAGTTCCACAGCAGCGCCTTTCCCGGCGTCCGCCTCGACATCCGCTGCCGGGCTGGCCCCGCCATCCTCGAGTGGAACGAGATGGCCCTCGAGCGCAGGCAGTTCCAAGGCATCGACCGAGCCGACATCTTCGCGGCTTTCCAGGCCCTCATCTCTGACGCCGTGTCCGCTACGTGGCGTTCCCGACCGCCCGTGGGCGCCATGGCCAGCGCCCGAGGGGGCTTCGCCCGCCGCCATCGCCAGCTGGGACGTCCGCTCTGACGCGCCACCAGCGCGTCCGCCGCAGGCGCTGGCAGGCCGCCCTCTCCAGGTTCTCGCGGCGCCAATGCGCCACCATCCTGCGCGAGGTTCACCGCGGCGCTGCTCCTCGCGGGGCAGGCGCGTAGGCTTACCTGCACAAGCTCGAATTATCCGAAGTTCACCTCCACCGAGGGCGCCGCATCCTTGGACGTCGGTGGCGTTGCCGTTCGCGCCCCGAGGTTCGCGCCGACGCTGCGCGAGCATCCTCGACGCGGCCAACTGCCGATCGTCGCTCACAGCGCGCTGGTTCCTGGACACACCCAGCTTCGCGGCCATCGCCAACGCTTCATCCCCCAACGCGTTGGCCCTGATGAGTGTCCACAACCGCGAGCTGGCCGCGCGAAAACGCGACAGGGCCCGCGCCGCCTGGCGCATGCACCGCGGGCGGGCAGAGCAAGCCTACCAGCGCCGTGCGCGCCCAGCGATGGGGGGCGTCAACACTGCCAGCCGCCCACCTGACAGATGCGCCTCGCCGCAGTCGCAGCGCGCCCGCCTCGTGCTCGACGGCCGCATCCGCCTGTTGCAACTACGGCCTCGACGATCGAAGGCGTCTTCATCGGCCCCCCGTCGCGTGCCATGGGGGGGCTCATCCCGCGCATCGACGTCGCCCGCGACGCGGCCATCCTGTCGGACAAGCGCCTTAGTGACCGCGCCGTCACCGCCTACGCCGTCGGTATCAAGCCTTGTGCGACCCCCGACGAGCAGGCCATTCCGCCCGCGATCTCCTGTGATCCCGAGTTGCCCCATCTGCCTGCAGCAGCTCATCGACGCCTCAAACGCCGCCCACGCCCACATCGAGAACCGCTGGCGGACGCACAAGCGCTTCGCGGCAGAGGCCGCCTGCGCGGTTCGCGACGACCGGGCCTGCTCATCCACCGGCGACGCCGCCCGCCCGGGCTGCCAGAGCGGCCGCGTCGTCACCGTGCGCTCGATCTCCAGAGCCATCTGTCGCAAAGACAGGGCCCTCGCAAGACGCTGCGACGCCGCCGCCGACCAGGGCGAGCAGGTCCTGGTCATCAACGACGCCACCATTACCCTGTCGAGCGACTCCCTCTTCGCCAACCTGTCGGCGCTCCTGCGCCGCGATTTCGAGGCGCGCAAGTGCTCTCCGGCTTTGGGCGCCGCTCGCAGCCATCGGGGGCGGGCCGGCGCCATCCCTACCGCGATGCTCCGAAGGATCTTTCGGCTCTCCTCTGGGCCTCGCGCGGGCGCCCCCTCGCCCTCCAAGGCGCCGAGGCCCAGGGCCCGCGTGATGTCCCCGCCAAGATGGCCAAAAAGAGCGGTGCCATGGTCGACGCCCTGCAAGCGCATTGGCAGTCCATCTTAGCTCCATGCCGCAGCAGCTCATCGAGCAGCGCGCGGTTCCGCGCGAGCAGCAGATCAAGGCCCCCCTCATCCGCGCTGCCCCGTCTGCGCCCAGCGCCGACTGCCCGCCGTGCTCTGCCTGACTCGCCCGCGACCGCTCGCCCCGCATCTAGAAGGGCTTCTCCTCCTCGTGCTCAGTCCAGTGGACCGCGCGGGGCCTGCGCGAGTCCGACTTCGCATCCCCCCCGAACGGTGACGACATGAGTGGAGAAACCAATGCGGACAGGGCCCCGAGGGCACTCGTCCACTCTCGCTGAGGAACGCAGACGCCAGGGCCATCGCTGGCCCAGCCAACCTCTCTCTGAAGTCCTTCGTGGCACAGAGGACGCACATTGCGCGGCGGGGCTCCGAGACGGGCCTCTCGCGGAGCGCGTCGCACACCTCGACGCAGAGATGCGCCGCGCAGGCCCCCGGGCCGACTGCGCCAACCACCGCCCGATCCTCGTCAGTTTCGACCTCCTGGCCGCGCCCCCGTCTTTGGGCAGGGCCCGGCATCTCGCGGCGCCCCGGCGCGTCGGCATCCCGCGGGTCTGACGCGCCATGCGCTACGCCCCCCACATCGTGCGTCAAGGTCGACGGTCGCCGCCGCATAATGTTCGCAATCGTGTCCGGGGTAGCTCGGGGCTGCCCTGTCAGCGGCTCTGCGCGGGCAATCGCAATGGACACCCTGGTGCGCCACATCGCCCCATCCGTTAAGCGCGACGACGGCGCGTTCGACCTGCCCAGCGGACGCGCAGTGGCATGCGCTGACGACCTCGGTCTCCTGTGCAGCAGCTTCGATGGTGATGCGCGGTGTTGAGCCCTCCGCCCTCGCTGAATGGCATCGCGGCAGTTGTCGGGGGTGGAGGGCTCGAAGTAAGGGGCCCCAGTGGCTGCCGATGCGGCGCGCAGTTCCCATCTCTGCCCCGCGCATGAAGCCGCGCTGCCATCGATGATGAGCGCGTCGCCCAGATCGCCGGGAGAAGGAACGCACCCCGACGCTGAAGAGCTCGCCCTGCTCTCTCGCCAGCCACGCAAGCCCGTGACCGCCCCTCCCTGGGTCGAAGCGAAGCCCGCCACCATTGCCCAGGCCCGCGCCCTGCTTTCCGAGCCCCCCCTCCCGTCGATTTCGGGGCGCGCCAAGTACTTCGGACCCCCCTCGGGCCCAGCAGCGTCTCTGTCGGACGAACGGCATGCTCCGTGCCAGACATGGCGGCATCGCGGCAATCTGTTGCATCTAGTCAGGCAGCGCGCCACCGTTCGCCGATGCAGTGCACCCCGGCTCTCCGCACTTAGCTGCGTTGCTCAATTCGTTCCTGCGGAGCAGATAATCACTCGCCGCGAACTCTGCATGGCGCACAAAGTGCTGGCCCTCCCGCTGGACTCGTTTCGCACAGTTGATTTTGGCGCAATGGCCGACTGGGCTCCAGCCCCCATCCCAGCTTCGCTCCAGGTAGTCACAGTTGCCGCCGCTATGCGTTCCACCTCGTTCACATGTCGGGGCGATCGGGAGGACGTATTCTCCCGCCTGCGCGGGGCGGCGCGGGGGGAGAACACGAACAACAATTTCCCGCGCTGGAGCGCTGGGCTCAGGCCGTCTTCATTGCGTAGTCTTTTTCGAGCCTCTGCTCGTGCCAGCGCTGAGGAATCTTCCCCGCCCAGGTGACCAGTTCGGCTCTAGCAGAGGACTGCGCCGAGGTTGCAGCTGCCGCCTCCGCTGCGCCGCAGCGCCGTGTCCACGTTCAGAGAGCGATTGTTGCATCACTACGGGCCGCGTGTTTCTCATCGCCCTTCAGCGCTACACACGCCAAACGTCTGGCCTCTTGGGGCCTGCAGCAGCCGCCTCCCGACGAGCTGTTCAAGTCTGGGAACTGCTGTCCGAGACCCTCCAAGGGCTCTGTCCGAACTGTCGTTGGGCCGTTTTCAACCGTTTCAGTTGAGGGTAGAATCGCGCTACCGCCCGCTTGCACGTCTGAGCCCCCCGCACGTGCGTCTTCGGTTGTCCGCAGGACGAAGACGTTTTTCCCCACTACTTATCCTGTCCTCGCCTCCTGAGCCTCCTTTGGTTCCTGACCCGCCCCTCCCCCGCGCGCGACTCTCACCCCCGACGCCGCGTACAGCACTGATCGCGACAGCGCTACATCGCTACGTCGCTGCATCGCACGTGTCAGCGCATCACGCTTGCGTACCACACATACAACACAATGCAGCTACAGCCAGCGCCAGTTCACCAAGGCATGGCTTGGGCGCGCGCAACTGCCCGAGCCTTTGTGTGGCGTTAATCGGAAGGCTCGCGTCCCGCAGGGTACTCGATGTCCACCTCCTCCTCCTCCTTCTCCACGCGCCGCTGCCGTCGACAGAGCGGCTGTTCTCCACCGTCGCATTCTGAAAACCGCCTGTCGGACGTCGGGCGGTGCGGCGCGGAAACGTCCCGCGCCCCAGGTCGTGCCCAGGTTTTTTCTCCTCCTCCTCCTCCTCCTCCTCCTCCTCCTCCTCCTCCTCCTCCTCATTCTCCTCCTCCTCCTCCTCCTCCTCCTCCTCTTTCTCCTCGTCCTCCTCCTAGATCCTCCTCCTCCTCCTCCTCCTCCTCCTCATCATCATCCCACTCGTCCTCCTCCCAGATCCTCCTCTTGCTCGACCTCCCTTCTCTTCGATCCTCCTGGAGCGCGCGGTCCTCGGTCTCCGAGGGCCGAGGGAGGAGCCCCGGACCAGGAGGCGCGGCGGGCCGGGGCGGGCGCCGGGGGCGGCCGCCCCGTGCGGCAGGTGGTGCGCCTGGGTGCCCGCGCCGGCGTCGCGGGGGCGCTGAACGCGGGCTGGGCCCGCTGCCGCGGCAGGCCTCCCGTCGGGGCACAGGGCAGTCGGGCGTGGCCAGGGCCGTAGAGGTAATGGGGGCCCGTTTAGTAAGTAGGGCCCGTGTGGACCCTAAATTGTCGGGGGCGGACAGAAACCCCCAACAGTGACACGTCGATTAGTGAAATGTCCGTTTTCGGTTCTCGAGAGGGCGCCGTGGCCGTCATTTTCCAGGCTTGCGCCCGCCAGGTTTGGGCCTCAGGTCGTTTTCACTAAGCCACGTTTTGCTAAAGGGGGGTCTGTCCATCTCCGAAATTGGCCAGAATCACTAAACCAGGTCTGCCGCAGGTGGTGTTTTTTTTTTCGGGTGACGGCAGTTGCGGTTCGAGGAACGGGGCTGGCGGGGGCGTCCCCCCAGGACACATCACGCAGCCAGGTCCCACGAAGCCCAGTGCTGCCAACACGTCCGAACAAAACAAAGCACAACCACTACCGGGTGGATGTGTCGGGAGGGCCCCTCGGGGGAGAACCCGCCGACCTCGGCATGAACATTGTGGTCTCGCAGGCGATTGTTCCCCCCCGACCCCCGACTCTTCGGCGAAGGACGAAGCCGCTCAGAACAGGGAGGGAACCTTGGGATACACCCCAAGGGGGCTACTCGGGCGCAGCATTATCGAGGATGGGCTCCCCCCTATCGTATATCCCAGGGCTGGGCCCCAAATTTGAAGTCAATCCGAAAGCCACAAAGCCTCGGGCAGGGGTCGACATATCCCTTGTGATGATCTTGGTTTTGGTCGGTTTGGTCGTCCCGAACGCCCACATCGAACACAACCAGTACTAAGCTGGTTCCTGTGTTCTCAGGATTGCTGGCCTTCCCTCCGGGCACAATGAACATGCAGAATAATGAATTATGAGCAAACTTAAACCTTCGACTGTCTGCGTGGATTTTTTCGGATCGGCGCTGGGGCCTCCCCAGCGGCGCCTTCGGCGCCGCCTCTGGCGCGCTCCGTCCGCCAGTGGATGGGGGTCCAGAGCCAATCCGTGAAATCTGCGCGGACATCCGGAAATTGTTCTGTTCATGTCGTGACTTGTTCCCAAAAACAAGAGAGCATTGTTGCTTTACTCCTGGGCGATACCACGCGTTACCAGGGGGTGCGGGGGGGCCGCGGGGCCGGTGACGTCACGCTTCGCGCTGGCGCGGTATGGGGAGGACTGGGAAAAAACAAAAGACAGCTCGGAGGTCAGCACGAGTCATGACGTTCCCTGTTGAGGGTGGAAGGGAGGCGCGGCTGGGGCTGGCAACCGACGCCATCACGAAACAGGCAAAACGCCATCCAAGAGCCAGACATGCGACGTCCGGACTGTCTCTTGACGTGGACACCCAGAGGTCTCGGCCCATTCCCTCGGGTCTGCCTTTCATCCCGAGCAGTTCTGTTGACAGTCCCGGGGCCCAGTGAAGGCCCCCCAGAGGCCAAACACTAGCAAAGACTTGCCGTCCTGATATTGGAGAGGCCTGACGGCCGGTGCCGCCGACCCTGATCGAAAGGGTTAGGAGTGGGGGGAGGAAGCGGAGGAGGAGGAGGAGGAGGAGGAGGAGGAGGAGGAGGAGGAGGACGACGAGGAGGAAGAGGAGGAGGAGGAGGAGGAGGAGGAGGAGGAGGAGGAGAATGAGGAGGAGGAGGAGGAGGAGGAGGGGAGGAGGAGGAGGAGGAGGAGGAGGAGGAGGAGGAGGATATTTGTCGCGACCCTGTTTGGGGAGCCATGGCGGTAGGCGTTTGGGCACTCTCGGCCTCCTGGGCCCCTGCACGGGCCCCGGAGGCGGCCCAGAGAGACGGCGTCGGGGGGCGAGCGGTGGCGCCTCCGCCACCAGGGCGGGCCACTCCCGGCGAGGAGACACCGACGAGAGGCCTCCCGTTGGGAACCCCCAAACCGGGTGGTGTGATACCAGGTGGCGACTTGGAATCCCCAAAAAGGTCACCGCTGGGTTTGGGGACGTGGGGTCACCACCGGGCTTTGTGTGACTCCTGGACCCACCAGTGTCTGGGACATCCTCGGAAAACCGCACGAGTCCCCAAACCGGGCGGTGACACCAAATCGCCCGAGACTCACCACCAGTCCGTCATTCATGAAGATTAGTGCGGGTGCTCTCCCTCCCACCTCCGCGACCGCAGTTGTTTGGGTTCAAACAAGGTGCGGCCCGTGCGCGGGCACGCGATCCGCGCCCGCGCGCGGGCGATTCTTCCGCCTGCGGGCGAGACCCCCCCAGGGGGAGGCCCGGTGCCGCGCGGCTCGCGGCTCAGCAGGAGGAGCCGAGGATCCCTGTCCCCTGTCGGGAGCGCGAGCCGCGGCAGGCGGACAGGCTTGGGCCATGGCGCACAAGAAGCGGCCTGCGGCTGCAGCGCGGCGTGGCTCGGCCGCGCTGCGCCGCCCAGCCTCGCTGGCGCCGAGGGCGGTGCGAGGCAAGCGCAAGCCCGACGGCGCGCGCGGAGGCCGAGGCCGCCCCCGCGGCCACCCGCCACCGCGCCCCGACGGCGGCGCCACCAAGCCGAAAGGCGGCGGGGGGGGAGGGGGCCGCGGAGGCAGCCGAGGCGGACGGCGGGGTTCAGCCTCAGGGTTCCGCCAGTCTGCTCTGCGGCGCTCCCGTTCGGGAGGACGTGGGTCGCGCAAGGGCGAGCACATCGCGCCTGGCGACCGAGCGGCTGCTGGCCTTGATGACGACGACGACATCGCAGCCGACTCGCGTCACGAAGCGGGCCGCCCAGCTGGTGAGTGGTACCAGGGCGAGACCTGGCCGACGGCTGCTACGTCGGGCCCGAGGAAGGGCCGGCCGCCGATCATCGAGGTCGAGATGGACGGGCTGGCGACGTTCAGGGTGCTCGGACAGGCAGCGCAGGACGACGGCACGGTTCCCGACCCGATGTACGGCGAGTCCCCGCCTCTGTGGGAGGCCGCCTACATGGGCGCGGAGAAGCCCGCCCAGCGGAGGGAGCTCGCCGTGGCGTTCGACGATCCGGTGAGGACTCCAGTGCTGCACTTCTGCTCGGTGGCGGTTCATGCCGGCGAGTGCCGCCTGGGCGAGGACCTGGTCGACGCGCAGGTGCTGCACGTGGGTCGCTGGCGCTGCGCCGCGCTGCCGTTCCACGGCTACGCAGGCGAGGAGCTCGCGCGCGACCGGGAGGACCAGGCCATTGCGGACGCCAGGCGCGCGCAGGGCAGGCCAGCGAAGCGGAGCTCGCCCCCTGGGCCACCCCCTGGTCATCGGGGAGAGCGCGGGACGGGCGCCGACGGCTCCAAGTCGGACGCCCGCCGCGAGGGGCCTGGAGGTGGCGCGTCGGCTCACGCCCGCGATCGAGGGCTGAGCGCGCGGCTGGGCGAGCTGCGCGAGCGCGCTGCCCAGCGCGGCCGCCCCGCAGGCAGGAGCGGGAGGCTGCGGTCTGCGCCAGCGAGGATCCGCTCCAACAGCCCCGAGGACGAGGGGGAGCGAGGAGCCCTGGTCGAGGCGAAGAGCGCTGAGAGGAGCCACTCGCCCCGCCGGGAGAAGGCCCGCGACAGAGCGCCCAGTGCACCTGCCGAGGGCCGCGCCAGCCTCAGCACCAAGATCCTGGACAAGGCCAAGTCGAGAGGCACCAGCTCTCAGCGCGGCAGCTCTGCAGGCGGAGGTGGAAGCTCTCGCGCCTCGCCTCCGCGCAAGGCGAAGCGCGAGAAGAAGAAGAAGAAGAAGAATAAGAAGAAGCGCCGCGAGGAGTCTGACGGCAGCGCGTCGAGTGAGGGCTCGTCGTCGAAGCGTTTTCACGACGCCCGCCTCTCCGCGCGCGACAAGGCCAAGCGCCTTGTGGAGAGGAAGCCGGGCGTTATCACGGAGCGCGCTTTGGCGAAGATGCGCAGCTACCTCGTCAGCAAGGGGCGCGCGGTCGAGGGCGACGCGGCGCCGCGCGTGCTGAACTACTTCGCCAGCGTGTACCTGCCGAGCTGCCAGGGCAAGCTTCGCGCTCGCAACGAGCTCGAGATGCGCACACTGGCAACAGCGGTCGGCGCAGTTCTCGAAGCCGATCTGGGGACTGCCACGGACGTGCTGGTCCAGCAGTACAAGTCCATCGAGCAGCTCCACGCCGACGGGGGCACGTGGAAGGCGGCTCGGCATGCCTCGGCGGACGGCGACGGTCGCGTCAGCATCGCGGACGATCGCGAGCGCGAAGCCTTCCTCAGGGACGAGAAGAGGGACATGCACTCCCGCGCTACCGCAAGCTGGAGGGCCAGGTCGGGTCGAACCGTGGCCAGTATTGACAAGCACCCGCGGGGGAGCCGGCAGTGATCGGAGCGCCCCCGCGGTCAGGGTCGGAAGGCCCTGGGGGAAGCCGCGGTGTCGAGCTGAGGCCAGCAGAGCGGGGAGTCGGCTCTCGAGAGCGCAGTCCCGCAGGGCGTGTCACACTGACGCCAGCGAGAGACGCGGCCTCGGCCGACCGCAGTCCCTCGGGCGACAACCGCGGAGGAGACAGGGTTCGCTTCTCGGAGTCCCCGCCGAGGAGGAAGCTGTGCAACCCTGCGAGCCCTGCGGGCCACGTTGGATCGGACGGGGAGGACTTGCCCCAGGAGGGCGATCGCGATCGCGCACCCCGTGGCGGCGCACCGCAGGCGCGGGCCCCCTCACCGCCGCCGAAGGCGAGGCCCAAGGGCAGAGGCAAGGGCAAGCCGAATGCCAATGGCAGATCCAGTGGGAAAGGCAAGGGCTCGGGGCCAGGCAAGGGCAAGGAACCAAGGAAGGGCTCGCCTCAGTATTGGTTTGCCCTTCGCCAGGCCAACGAGAAGAAGGCCCGCTGGGCCCCCCCCCCCGCCGCCTCGCTCGCGCCCGTCAAGGCGAGGCGAGAGGCGGCGGAGGCGGACCAAGCTCGGGCGCCTGGCTGCTCCACGCCAGCAGCCCAGCGCGGTTGCCAGGCGCGCCCTGGGCTTGAGGCCCTTCGAGGGCTGATCGATCCAGCCGAGCTGTCGAGCCTGGGACTGCCAGCCATTGGCTCCCTCCTCGCCCGCTGCGCCCCCCTCAGGGCGTCACCGGGGGTCGGTTGCAGCGCGGCGGCCTCGCACGGCCGCGGCTCCATGCCGATGGCCGTCGGGAGAGAGAGCGGGTGGAGCGAGGAGCGCAGGCAGACTGCAGCCCACAGGCAGCTCGAGCGCGAGGGAGACGACGTGGGCCGCCACCGAGCCCACCCTGTCCCTGACGGGCTGGAGGTCTGGCTCGAGCTGGCCATGCGAGCGCTTAACACCACGTGGTCGGCACGGCGCTCTTGCTGGCCAGGCGACGCATCCAGCGGAGTCAAGAGGAAAGGCGTGAAGCCGAGTGGCACCCAGGCCCAAAAGTTCTGGAACCTGGAGAGGACGGTCGAGTCTTTCCTGGCAGCAGGCCCGAAGTTGCCAGAGCAGACCGCCGCCGCTTTCCTGACGTCCAGGCAGGTCACCTACACCGGGGAGGTCGTCAGGAAGGCAGAGGACCTCTCATGGTCACGAGTGCTGCCGAGCTTGCCGCCGCTTGCGCGATGTGCATCGCTGGACGTAATGTCCCTGTGCGGCACCAGGATGCAGGAGTGGTTCAGTCGACCCGAGCTCGCGTTGGCGCCGCTGGAGTCAGTCAGCGAGAGACCACGTCCAGGCCGGGTGATTTGCGAGCCGCCGTCGCGCATTCCCCTAGGGAGAGGTCTCCTCGAACGTGGGCTGGCGGTGCCGCTTCGAGAGCAGGACCTCATCACAGTGGCGGGGCAGCCCCTTCTGAACGGGCTCTTCGGGGTCCCGGAGGGAGAGCCCTCGCCGAATGGTGACCCTGGGACCTTGAGGCTCATCATGAACTTGACGGCGACCAACTCCCTCACGGTCGACTTCGAGGGGTACATTGCGGCGCTTCCCTACTTCGCACAGTGGCGCTCGCTCATCATCGGCCCAGGTGAGGAGCTCACGTGGTCTTTCGACGACCTCAAGGGCGCCTTCTACCTGTTCAAGCTCCCAAAGTGCTGGGCGCCGCTGTTCGCGTTCGACGTCAAGTGCACGCCTCAGGGGCTCGGGCTGCAGGGGCACTGGCCGAGCAGCGTCTACCTCGGGGCGGTCACGTGCCCATGGGGTACAATAGCGCGATGGGGCTCGTCCAGTACCTGCACCGCCGCATGCTGGCGCAGGGCCTGCAGTCTCCCCTCGGCCTTCCGCAGGCGAGGGAGATCCGCAAGGACCGCGGAGTGCCAGCCTTGCGAGTTGGGGGAGGCATGCGCGATGTCTGGCAGGTGCATTGCGACGACGCCGACTACGCGGAGAAGGTCGAGCGGCTCGCGTGCGAGCCCCACTCCGCCGAGGGGAGTCAAGTTGAGGAGGGCGGTGACGATGGGCGCTTCGCCCAGGCGGCTCGCGCCAAGCACCGCGCCCTCGATGTCCCTCTCAGCGAGAAGAACGGCACCAGAGTCAGCCACTGCCAGCGCCTGGGCGCCTGTGTTGATGGCCGTGACGGGAGCGTCGCTGTCCCCGCGGCTAGAGCAGGGCTGGCGGTGCAGCTGGCGCTGTACCTGCTGTGCTCCAAGGTCAGCAGGAAGGACGTGCAGGTGGTGGCAGGGCACTGGTGCCACCTCGACTGCTTCCGTCGGGAGTGCTCCTGCGTCTTCACGCGCGTCTGGAAGCTGATCAACGCCTGGACAGGGCCGCCGCGGCAGTATCTGTCTCCAGCTGTGAGCGCGGAGTTATTCCTGGCGCTCTGCCTCCTCCCGTTGCATCAGTTCGATCTGAGATGCCCAGTCTCCCCGATGGTCACCTGCAGTGACGACTCGGAGACCGGTGGGGGCGTGTGCTGGAGCAACAAGCTTCGCCCGTCAGCCGTCGCCCCGTCGCTGGCCGACCTCTGCTAGGGTCGTGCAGCCGGGAGAGACGAGGTCGGACTTGTGGAGCTCTTCAGCGGCATCGGGGGCGGCGGGATGGCCTGCGACCGCCTGGGGATTGAGGTCGCCGTCCACGCCGCCGCAGAGCTGCTGCCCGAAGCTCGGCGCGTCAGCCATCAGCAGTGGCCGTCAGCGATAGAGCTCGGAGGCGTGACCAAGATAACGCTGAATACCATCAAGGCCGTGATGTCGAAGGCGCCCCACTTGCGCGTCGTGTTCGTGCTAGGGGGGCCCCCGTGCCAGGGAGTCGCCCGCATCAGCGCCTTTGGGCAGGGTTGGGCCGAGGACCGCACGCGACTGGTGCAAGAGCTACCTCGCGTAGCAGGCCTTGTGCGAGCCGCCCTCCCCGATGTCCAGGTATTCGCCCTGGGCGAGAACGTCAGCTCGATGACGGCCGCCGACAGGGGAAGATTCAGCCAGGTCATGGGAGTCGTGCCCGTGGAGCTCTGTGCCAGCGGGCGCAGTCCGGTCAAGCGGCCGAGGCTCTACTGGGTCGACTGGCCGCTCGGGCCCGAGACCTCAGAGTTCCAGTGCCAGCAGAAGGGCGAGGTCATCGAGGCAGTGCTCACTGGCAGCTGGCCGAGTTGGGCAGAGCAGCTCGAGCAGGGTGCGCGCCGTCCGCGGGGAGAGAAGGGAGCCTGGGCCACTCTTGTGCGCTCCATCCCTCGCGAGAGGCCGCCACCTTCCCCAGCGGGGCTGGGAGTGACCGACCAGGCTGCGCGCGAGCGCTGGGCGGCGGACAAGTACCGCCACCCGCCGTGCCAGTGCCGCAGGGACAACTTGGTCGAGGCCTCCCGTGCTTCGGCGAGGACTTGGGAGTCGGGCGCCAAGCACAAGCTCCGACCTCTGACCAGCAGAGAGCGGGCTGTGCGCCTAGGGTTTCCCTGGAACCATTGCAGCTGGGCCGTGCCCAAGTCCGAGTCGGGGTCGATCGACGAGGACGTCAAGTGCTCTCTGCTGGGTATCTCCTTCTCAGTCCCGGTGGTAGCCTTCCTGCTTGGAAGAGGTTTGGTGGCCGCTATTTGCTGCTGGACGCGCCTGCCGCCGAGGCGACCCCCGATCAAGTGCACCGCGCCCTTTGCGAGTCACTTGTGCGGAACGCCATCTTCAAGGGCAGCGACGTGCGCGCCGCGACGAGAGGCCTTTGGAAGCCTGCGGGCTGGCCAAGGAGAGGCGTTGATGCAGACCGCTGGCTCTGGCGCACTTGCCTGAGTTTCAAGCAGGGGGGCGCGCGCATCAACGTCTTGGAGCTGCAAGCCCTCTTGACCGCCGTGTCTTGGCTCATGAGGAGCCGTTCGAACATACGCACGAGTTTTTTTCATTTCTGTCATTCTCAGGTTTCCATAGCAGTGGCCTGCAAGGGTAGGTCGCAGTCCCGCCAGCTTCAGTCCATCCTCATGCGCTTGAACGCGCTCCTGCTAGCCACGTCCAGCCACCCATGTTGGGTCTTTGTTCGGTCGGAGCTCAATCCGGCCGACGCTCCGAGCAGATGGCGGCAGCCATAGTGCTCAGCGGCGGGACGAGGCAGCAGAGAAGGGATGAGCGAAGCAGAGCGGGAACCCTGAGATCATTGCAGCTCCAACCACGCACTGTCCAGCGGTATCTGGAGGCCGCACATATATTTTCCAGTGGCTCCTGCGCCTTGGCGAGCCCTTGCCTGTCTCGATCCCAGCCGCCGACGAGATTCTTGGGGAGTCTCTCGAGGATTGTTGGGCGGCTGGAGAATCCAAGACCTTGGTGGGAGACACGTTGTCGGGGCTCCAACATTTTGTTCCAAGTCTGCGCAGAGGTCTCAACGATTCTTGGAGACTGTTCGGCACCTGGTCTAAGACCGAAATCCCTTCCCGTGCTCGGCCGCTGTTGCCTAAGCAGGCGCTGGCGATGGCAGGCTTTGCACTGGAGGATGGAGACAAAGCGACAGCTGCGGCAGTAGTAGTGCGCTTCAACGGCATCTTTCGCCCCGCCGAGTGCATGTTGACAGCTGGGCAATGCACCTTTGACCTGGACCCTGGCGTGGTGCACCTCAACCTCGGTTTCACCAAGGGAGGTAAGAGGTCAGGCACCGCCGAGCGCGTCACCATCGACGAGCTCGAGGCTGTTGTGCTCCTTGCCGAGCTTTTGCAAGGACGCCCAGCTGGCACCCAGCTGTACCCCCGCGGCACGGGCGGCTTCCGCCGTGCCTTCAGGAGACTGGCCCAGTCCATTGGGGCCGACCCTGATAGGTACCAGCCGTGCTCGCTGCGCCGGGGAGGGGCCGCCCACCACTTCAAGATCCTGGGAAGTCTCTCCAAGACATGTATTCGCGGCCGTTGGAGGCACCAGCCCACGGCTCGCATTTACATACAGGATGGCGTGGCCATGCTGGAGCGCCACGGCCTCAGCGCGAAGGAGCGACGGTTGATAGCCAGGGGAAAGTCTTTGCTACGCCGTCGTCTCTGATGCCCGTGCCCTGGGCCCTCGGACGCCCATCAGCTCCGCCAAGTCAGTGCAGCGTGGGAGGTCACGCGCGCTGGGAGTGCATGCATGGAGTGGGCGCGCGCCTGAGTGCTGCGGCTTGCCACCCTCGGCGCCCAGCGACCAGGCAGACCAAGCCACCTCCTGCGTCCAACGTAACGCTCCCGACGGCCGTCGGAGGGAGGTGAGGGCGGTTCGCCTGGGCCGTCTGGCGCCCTGCTCCTGAGGTAGCCCGCCGCATCACCACTGAGGTGCGGGCTGCCGCGGCCAAGAGAAAAAGGAGCGCGGCCGCGGCAGCATCAGACGGGAGCGAGGAGAGGAGGAGTGAGGAGGACTAGTCCGTCATTCATGAAGATTAGTGCGAGTGCTCTCTCTCCCACCTCCGCGACCGCAGTTGTTTGGGCCACCGACCCCGCCCAGCAACACTGACGCCCAGAGAGTTTCTTAACCTGAATGCATCAAGGGCTCTCGCCCCCGCTGAGGGGAGAAGAGTGGGCGCGCGCCTGAGTGCTGCGGCTTGCCACCCTCGGCACCCAGCGACCAGGCAGACCAAGCCACCTCCAGCGTCCAACGTGACGCTCCCGACGGCCGTCGGAGGGAGGTGAGGGCGGTTCGCCTGGGCCGTCTGGCGCCCTGCTCCTGAGGTAGCCCGCCGCATCACCACTGAGGCGCGGGCTGCCGCGGCCAAGAGAAAAGGAGGGCGGCCGCGGCAGCATCAGACGGGAGCGAGGAGAGGAGGAGTGAGGAGCACTAGGTATTGTCACCACCACGTTTGGGGATCATCAATCCCGTGCTGGGGACCGGGAGCCTCTCGGGCGAGAGGGGCCAGGGGGGGGGCCCCCGCCCAGTGCTTCTCTCCCGCTTGGTGGTCCCTGGTGGCGGTCGTGGTGTCGCTCTTCTGCTGTCCAAGAGGCCTCTGGGGGTCCGACGGGGGGGGTCGGCGCCTGCGGTATCGAACCCAGTTGGCGGTGGAAGCACACGCTGTTGGTCCGATTTCGGCACCCTGGCGGTTGCGGAGAGGCGCGTGCATGTTGCCGTTTCGAATCGACCGGTACGTCGGGGAGCGCCCCTGTCGATGTCGAGTGGGGGAGGTGAGGGGGCGGCGAGGGGGCCGGCGGAGGTGAAAGGGGGGTGGCGCCGGGAGGCTCCAGGAGGCGGCAGGAGGAGGTCTGGAGGAGGTCTAGAGGAGGTTGGGAAGGTGGAGGTCGGAGGATGGAGGTTGGGCGGGGGGGGGAGGGTGGCGGGGGGAGTTAACTCGGGCCTGTCCCTGCACAGGGGGAATATGCAAAAAGAGTTCCAAACATAGCTTGGGGACCATTTCTCGAGTCCTCTTGAGCATGTCTGGCTATTCTTTGTTCTTTGTCCAGGTCCGCCCGTAGGGGGGCATGCCCGACCTAAGAGTGGAGGGTGGAAGGGGGCCGCGAGCGCGGGCCGGGCCCGCTGCCGCGGCGAGGGGGGCGGGGGGGCGAGGGGGCCCGCGCTGCGGCCCGAGCCTTTCTCCGTGGGAGGCCAGAGGGGGGATTCGTGCCCTCCGTCGTCCTTCTTGTCGTTCGTCCCTCCCTCTCCTTTGCCTCCTCCTCCCGTCCTCGCTTGTCGTGCGTCCCTCCCTGCCTTCGTGCGTGTGTCCTCCAGCGTATGACGTTTCAAGGTTTCACGGTCTCACAGTACCGCGCGCATGTACGGCCTCTCCGTGCACGATGTGCACTACGGAGCCGTCCCGCCGGACGGATTATTTGCCTCTCCGCTCCGCTCCGCTCCGCTCCGTTCGCATAACATCACGGCCAAATCAAGGTAATAACTCCTCTGGCTGCTCGTCGTCGCCAAGGAAGAAGCTGAAAGCGCGCGAGGCATGGCAGACGATGCATCTGACTCGAGGGTGTAACTGCGCAAGGTCCTGTGCCTGACGCTCCCAGGCCAGGGGAAGAGGGGCGAGGACGGCAAGGGCCGTCGGTGCTCATATGAGGGTCTGAGCCGGCTGGCGCGGAGGCTGACCGGGGTCGGGCCAGGGTGTCTGGGGAGGGTGGTGTCAGGCAGCAAATCATGGGAGCCTGTTGTACCCTCTAGAGTGCACTCGGGTCGACTAGCGTTGGGTAATCGCTGAGATAGCGCCGAATTAGCGTCGAGCTGCACAGATGTAGCGTCGATGAGCGTCCAGATGGCATGGGAGGCTCCCGCGAGCTGCCGGCGTGGTGGAGGAAGGCTTGCTGCCCGGTAGGAGTGGCCCCTCTGGCGACCTTTGGGTGCGCAGCTCTCAGGGGGGCTCGGATGGGGGCGAACGCCGGCGCGCAAGCACGCCACTGGTCGCACCGCGTGCCACGATCGGCAAGCCGCGCGCCGGCGGAGCACTCGTGCTGCAGGGCCGCTCGTGCGTGCGCGTGGCGCGCGGCCGGCCGAGAGAGCTCGGGGGGCGCGGCCGCCCCCAACGAGGTTTGTGGCGCGGCTGGACGCGGACGACATCGCCCACGAGCACAGGCCAGCCCGGGAGAGGAGGGGGTCTGGAGGGGTGCGTGCCGGTGCGTGCGGGCAGGCCCCCCCCCCCCCAAGAGTGGGGCGCGGCCCGCTTCACTCGTCCAGCCCACCGCCGCGCGCGCGACGGAGGAGGGCGGTCCCCAGTCATCCAACGACTTGACAAAGAGGATGGCGGAGTCTTTTTGGCCGTTCTCGGCCTCGATAGGGGCCCTCGCCACGCGCCGGGAGACGGGGAAGGCACGGCAAGACGGCCACACGGGGAGAGGGTCAAGACGTGCTCCCCGCCACGACCGCCTCTGCCATCGGAGGAGGAGGAGGAGGAGGAGGAGGAGGAGGAGGAGAAGGATGAGGAGGAGGAGGAGGCGGAGGAGGAGGATGAGAGGGAGAAGGAGAAGGAGGGAGAGGGAGAGGGAGAGGGAGAGGGAGGAGGAGGATGCGGATGCAAAGGAGGAGGAGGAGGAGGAGGAGGAGGAGGAGGAGGAGGAGGAGGGGAAGGAGGAGGGAGGGAGAAGCAGGAGGAGGAGGAGGACCTCCTCCCCCTTCAATTTATAATGGTGATGATGATGATGCTGATGATGATGATGATGATGATGATGATGATGATGATGATGATGATGATGATGATGATGATGATGATGATGATGATGATGATGATGATGATGATGATGATGATGATGATGATGATGCTGATGATGATGATGATGGGAAACAGGACCATCATTGCAGGCCCGAGGAGGGCGGCCGAGGAGGGCCAACAACATTCCCAAGCCGCTCAAAACAAGCCGACCCCTCGCCTCCTCCTTCCCTCCCTTCCTCCTTCACGAGCCTGCGGTGCTCGTGGGCAGTGCCGTGGCGGCGGGCGTGGGCCACAGCATGCTCGAGAGTGGGCGCAGGGAGGATACAGAGGAGACCCATGCCAAGAAACACCCTGCTGGCCTCCAGGGTGCCCTGGGTTTCTTGGGTTCCGATGGTTTTGCAGTGAGGGCGTGACGTTCCCACACCGAAACTCGATTGGCGTCCCGGGGTCTCAGGGTTGGGTTTGTTGTGGAATGTTTCGTGGGGGCTGGCCTCCACTGTAGTCGCGGGTGGACAGCTCGCGGGGAAGCGAACCTTCGAGCCTCGAAGCTCGACGGCAAGACTTTGCGTCCCTGGCGAGTGCACGGCCGTGGCGCCCGCGCCTCGCGAGGCTCTGCAGGCAGCTGGCCTACCTTGAGGCGAACCCCGCCGTCTCGATCCTCGGGGGCGGCTTCTGCACGTTCCAGGACCCACAGGAGCCAGGGGAGAGGGGACCAGGGAGGGCAGGGAACAGGGTGCACGCCTGTCCGATCGATCCTGTTCGTTCGGGCCCATGCCAAGAAACACCCTGCTTGCCTCCAGGGTGCCCTGGGTTTCTTGGGTGTCGAGGGTTTTGCTATGGAAAGCGTGACGTTCCCGCACCAATCCTCAATGAACGTCCCGGGGTCTCAGGGTCGGGTTCCTTGTGGAAGGTTTCTTATTGTCCGATGTGGCCCGATCGATCGGATGTGATCGATCCTGGCCCGATCGATCCGATGTGATTCTGGTGTTCCGAGGATGCGATACGTCCCGCTGCTTGTGTGGCACGGTTGTGCACCTCGGCGCCGCCGACCCAATTCGACTCCGGCTCGCCGATGCGGCTCGATTCGGTGCACATGCCGATTCGACCCGGCGTTCCGGTTCGGTGCGGACTGATCTTGGCAGGATGAGGACGGGAGAGGAGGAGGAGGGGCAGCAGGAGGAGGAGGAGGAGGTTGGAGGAGGAGGAGGAGGAGGTTGGAGGAGGAGGGAATGAGAGGGAATGAGAGGGAATGAGGAGGAGGAGGAGAAGGACAGAGGAGGGAGGCATGGGGAGGAGCAGGGAAGGAGAAACGGGGGGATGCAGGAGACGGCGAGGAGTCAAGGGAAGGATGAGGGAGGGTCGATCATGGAGGCTTGCATGTTGTCTGTTGTGTATTCTAT